AAGATCCTTAGATCCAAAATTACAAAACATTCCTTTTATATCACATATATCTCAAATGAAATCTAAATATATGGTGGTTTTAAACTTTTTCTTTAAAGCAACATAGTGACTATCATTAAAGGTATGAATTCTCTGGAATAATATACTTCTGCAAATTTAGAATTTACAGTTCATGTGACATCCCAAGACCTCTCACATCCGTATATATCTACCAAGCAAATTTTGTCTGCAAAATGTAAAAACAGGCTAAATACAGAGTGTCCCAGGAGTTTGGTGCCATATTTCAGGAGCATACCGAGGGTTCCCTATAGAATAACTTTGAAGTAGGAACCCATGTCCACAAACGTAAAATAGCAGCGCTAGAGCGGCATTTAAAATCATTTCGTTTAAACTTGGCGCCTCAATGTTGAACTGCATTGCATAGAGGAACAGCCATCCACCAGCACTTGTGCCACTGCCAAGATTGTGGGGACATCAAAATAAAGTGTTTGGAGGATCCTTCATGACCAACAACTTTATCCGTATCATGCAACGTGAGTACACAACATAGGTCCAGCTGACTTCGTACCACGAGTTCAACTTTGTCAGTGGATACTGAACCAGTTTTTACATCAGCCCAACTTCCTGAATCACGTGTTATTCACAAATGAAGTGCAATTTTGAAGGGATGGCTGGTTCAACTGTTGAAACAGCCATATTTGGGCTGATGAAAACCCCGTTACTGTAGTTGGTTACCATCAGGCACAATTTTCTGTCAATGTCCAGCGGGCATCATTGGCGATCACTTTATTGGGCCTTTCCTCCTACCACCGTGACTCAATGGGCACTTCTACCAGGTGTTACAATTCATGTGACATATCCCAAGACCTCTCACATCCAGACATATCTACCAAGCAAATTTTGTCTGCAAAATGTAAAAACATGCTAAATATATTCTTACACATACGGCACGGCTAGTAACGGGATGGATGACCTGGTTTTGGTTCCTAACAGAGACAGGAATTTTTCTTTCTTCCACCACAAGAACCACCTCTGAAGCTCTGCCAAACTCATCAAACAGGTGCTGGGGGCTCTTTCCCTAAGGGTGAAAAGGCTACAGCATGAAGCTGTGCATTCATTTACATCTAGTCTCAGGATCTGAACTACGTGGAACTTCACAATTTCATAATGTATTACCCATGCACAAGAGTAACGTATGTATGAGGGAGAGTGAGTAAATAGGTCACAAATGGAAGTAAAATGGCTGTAATAGACATAATAGATTTTCTATGTGTATCACTAGGTAGCAGCACAGTCCAGCTTCATGACAGTCTAGGTAGCAGATGTGCATGCACATATTCAGAGGCTGGTTTCAGTAGTCAAAATGGCGACCATGCTTGAGGATTTTACTACTGAAGAGCAGCGTTCTGTTGTGCTTTTTAGTAGGCAGAAGGATTCAATGCAAAAGATATTCATAAAGAAATGTTTCCACCCTATGGTGGGAAATGTACGTCATATAAAGCTGTTGACAACTGGGTCATGTAATAATCTCAAGGACATTCAAGTCACAGATGATGCCTAATCAGGTAGCCCTGTTAAGACTGACACAGAAGCAACTGTGCTGAGACAACAGTCAAAAGACTTCTATGGTGTGGTAAAGCAATGGGACAAGTGTATCAATGTTAGTGGAGGATACGTCGAGAAATAAACCCCTTTTCCAGGTTCAAATATCACGTTTTATGTCCATTTGTGACTTATTTACTGACTCTCATTCATACATAGCAGAACTATTTTAATTACTAGAATGCTGCTGTCATTCTCAATAAAACACTTTTCACATATCCTCTCAATATATTTATATGATTTAACTGAATGGGATATGATTTGCAGCTACAGATCTGTCCTATGACTTTTCTATCATTACATTTCTTAATTTTCATTTCATGCATCCTGTTGTGTTATAATATACAATTTATTTATTAAACAATAAATGATACACACTCCGTCCCAAGTGCAAACAATATATATTATATGTTTTTGATCTTGTTCTCTTCTACACTACATGTAGCACACGTAGTAAAGACAAGCAGCGGCACGCACACACGAAGACTACACAGAATAACACCTGTACAGTGTGGAACAAGAACTAGCCGCTCCAGCACTTTAGACATAGGGCGAGTAACCCTAACAATTTTAAATTCTAAATTTAAAATTTAGAGAAAATTTTAAAGGATTTTAAAATCATAACTTAAAGATTTTATAGTGCTACTACAGGAAAATTTGACGTGTGCAATATAATCTACATACCAGACACATATCAACAAGGTAGATGTTGATAATACGAAGAAAATAACAATGTGTTTTTTAAATGTTAAATTTTAGACTGGGTTTCAGTGTGGCAACAATGTTAAGAGTATACACCTGATGATGGCTGATAGAGGCCGAAACATGTAGTGTAGAAGAGAACAAGATCAAAGACATATAATATATATTGTTTGCACTTGGGACGGAGTGTGTATCATTTATCGTGTAGAGTGCAACAGGATGCTGAGATATAATATTATTTATTAAAACTGTCACAACACAACTATATTAAGGTCAGTGCCAAGTTTGTATATTATAACACAAGAGGATGCATGAAATGAAAATTAGCAGAGCCAAACTAGACACTGGCCTTAATGTAGTTGTGTTGTGATGGTTTTAATAAAGAAATTGTATTACATTTCTTCCTTACTTCAACATAAGAGAATGAATTTATGGTGAAATAAAATTGTTCTCTGTTATGGCAATTCTGGTAGGTACAACATTGCTGAAATACTTCTATCTACTAACTTTCTAAATGAGTTTCAAAAGAAACATCAATGGATTTTACTTTAACTTGGTATATGAAACTGTTAAATTTAGAATTTAGTAAATGACACAATGAAAGATAACAATAATGCCAGAAAGCTGTTTCCATTATGTAATTCCAGTCTGTATTACCATATGCTTACAGGATATGGTTAGTATATTAACCATTATTTCACTCCATATTGAATGGAATAATACATTGTCGACATGTTCACAATAATTATGACAGTTCTTGTACTAAAATGAAGAGCATGAAAAACAGTTTAATTTAAAAGCAAAACAAAAAGTTTCTCTGTCAAATATCCAATACATACTGTGTCACTAGTTTTCAGACTTCCACATTTTAACGGTACTTGCCACTACAAATGCTTTGGTGTCTGACATATAACAGAGGCAAACTGCTGACGAATCCCAGAAGCTCCACATATCATTGAACTGTTGTATCTTGATGAGAAATCCTGTAACTCTGTGATTCTCTCTGCTGAAAAGACTATCCACCTCCAGATGGAAGAACTGTTTCCTACTCCTGGTAGAATTTTGTTACAATATGAATAAAACTGCTGTACAGAAGATCAAAGTTTTAACTGCTATAAGCATGGAAAAGCCACCACTGACATGAAAATAACATATTCTGGTAGAGACTGTCAACATTTTTGATACTGTGGACAGATGAATATTACAGTTATGATGCTCACACTTTCCCCTTGATTTTCTAGCATGCCTACAGCTATATTAAAGATCCATTAAAGCCATGTTGTAGTGAATGAATACATGTCAGAAGCAAAAATACTGCATAGTACAATTTATATATATATGTGTGTGTGTGTGTGTGTATATAGGGTGTTAACTGTAACTGTACCATGAAGTAATAAATATACTGTAATGTGTTATATGTCATCCATCGTTGAGTAACGAAACAATGGAAATTGTTGAGACTGTTGCGTAGGAATATCCGCAGCAACAAGTGTTCTTTGCGTAACAATGCTCAGTAAACATCTCTCCCTGCTAGGTTGTGATGTCACGCAACAGGGGAGTCCATGCAGCTACTGTTGCTAGGCAATTGGTAAACACATTTTCTGTGTGATCAGTGCAGAAGCTACATAACGAGAGTAATCGTCAGTATTGAGTTAAGTCTAGCAGTTACAAGTTGTTGAGTTGTATCGAGTGAATGGAATCAAGACAGCTGAAGCCTGGAAGTGACTACGGCAGGAGAAGTAATTGGGATACTGGAGTTGTGAATTATGTAAGTGTGGATAAGTGTGTGCAATAAATTTGCTAGATTCAAGACCGGTGTGAAGTTATTTGTTGCGTCACACAAAAGAAACACACGACAATATTATACCTTAAATCACTTACACAGGACAGTTAAATCATACCCGAACAATTTAAGAGTGCAGTTTTACTGAAGGCTGAAATGTGTATAGAATGACAAAAGTAAACATCCTCAAGAATTGTCACAAATGTTCTATATGTCCTTCTTTTGTTAACACGGAAATGTTCCAGTGGTAAGCCAGCTTCATCCAAATCTTGCTTCCATCCACTTGTTCTCTGTATTGCTCATGTCTTCTGAGCCTCCAGTGGTATTTGGTATAGACAGGATTCTTTATAAGCCTCATAATGGAAAATCCACAGGGTCTATGGTGGGTGACCTTTGGTCACCACAGCCGGTCAATTTTATGGAACAATTTTCTTCAAAGACTCTTGATTACTAGACTGGCATGCTGCCAAGTTGCAAAGAGGCAAATATATCCCAACTTAAAAAAAAGGGGGGGGGGACTTAGCCATGCCAGTACAGGTCTTACATTTATACTAAAGCTTCATGAAACATTTTAGAAGTTACACAGAATTTCGGGTTCTCACAGCTGCGGTTATGGAGACCATCCTCTGACACATAATTCCATGCAGTCCGTTGAAAGGTAACTTGACTACACAGCACTATGCCCCAGAAGACAGATCTCTTCATTTTTAGAGTTATTACGATAATTTCCATATATTGTTAGGGCACAACAGAAGGTATTCATGACTACATAATGTGATATACAAAATCTACATGAGTATATACTATACATGACAAAACATTAAACACCTAATATGTTAAGTCAATTCAGACAAACTGTTGAGAATAACACCATTAAGACTGAGCACTACAAAAAAACATTGCCCAATGATTAAAAAAAAATATAGACAATTTACTAAATTATGCATTTTTAGCACACATTAAGTTTTTAAAATTACTAAACATCCTGCTAATGATTTTGTACAATGACTAAAAAAATGTTCAGTTTAGTGTTGAGTTCATATTCTCTTTGACTACACTTGTTACAGCACTTCCACACATACTGGGTTATACAAACGACAGAAACAAATGTACGTATACAGAAATTTTCAATCTGCTTAGTGGTTAAAATTGTACACAGCCTAGTTATACTTTCTGGGAGAATTTTATTTGAGAAATCTTCATACAAACAGTTAACAGCATCAAATTTTGTCACTAACACTGCGTATATAAATAAACTGATTTATATTAGAATGTCAAATAATTTGAACTGTATGAAATAGAAAGTATCTTTAACATAACTTCTAATTCTGGGTGTATGCATTATTACAACATTATGAATACACTTGCAACATGAGTGTCCTGGTGGCTACTGCCTTCGACTGAGATCTTACAAGCTCTCTGTAGAATAAAAAGCCATGGGTTCACCTCTGAGTGACAACCAAATATTATAAGAGGACTTTGTTAATAATATAAGGAATAAATGTTTCACAGCATTGTGCACAAACTGTAAGATGGTTGTGTGTCCCAGTACTTAAGTATTACACTATGAAGATGTATGGAAGAGTGGAGGTAAAGTTACATGCATTCTTAACCTTTGTACTTAGTAGAGGCAAGTGGTAAGCTCTAGCCACTAAGCACTGGGGAAACAGCCCCCAAAAATCACTGGATAGGAGGCTGGGTGTATCCCAGAGCTGTTCCTCAAGTGGTGGAAAAGAAATTATCTCTGACCTCCCCTGGGAATCAGACACTGGTATCCAGCCATGGCTAGTCACTTCACTGACTGAGCTATCCTGGATCATATGCAAAAATAGTAGCTATTCATTGCTTTTATCTGCAACCCCAATGTGTCACTAACGCACTGAGGCCATAGTTCTTTAATGTATTATTTTAATGAAGCAGCAGTTTTTTATGACGACTAGAAGATTTTACTTGTATTAATATTCTCCCAACTGGAGCATTAAAATACTTTTCAAAATAATACCAAGCTGGAACTCATGACATTGGATTGAAATAAAAACGTTGTACCCTCATAACATTTCAAACAAAACAACTGTTAAGACTTCAATTTTTAATTTGGATATAATTACAATGGAATTTATTCATGTAATATATGCCTATTAATATTTCTAGTGGCTTGGACTAATATTTCCCTGAGTGCAGCAAAATATCTATTCTTACAGCATTCCCAAACTTCATGAAGTTCCAATTGTGTCAGAGAGGGCATGGACAACTGTTTTAATGATCCAAAGTTCAATAGAAAAAAATAATTCTAGAAGTATTTCTTAAAAACCATGAAAAATGTATCAACTGAAAATGGATATGTCAGTCATAACTTGTCCATATTTACTTAACACAAACTACCATTCGGTACATTATACTAACAAAAAACTGGTAAAAAAGTGACCTTGAAGTAGACTATTAATTTTCACAAACACAATGATGAATATCACAGTATTCATATAAACTCTTCTGCTTCCCTTGGCGCGTCCAAATCTCGGTAGTGAATTACGGGCCGATAATCTGCACCACCCCTGGCAAGAAAACAGACTTTATACTGACAATACTTTCAAGACAATCAAGTTTCAATTATGCATACTGCTTTGAATATATCTCAGTGTTTACATTTGCAACAATTTGTTCTGACAGATGCACAGAAAGGAAGTATTAGGGCAATAAAGGTTCCAGAAATGGGATTAACCAAAAAGAAATTCAGAGAACTTTTATTATAAACACCAGTAAGTATCCAAAGAAAGAACAATAAAATAGATGGGACAAAATTCAAATTTCACAATTCATGACCTTGATGTGACTTCAAGCTCTGATTCAGTGGAAGCAAACCTATTTTAAATTAAATCTGGATATATATATATATATATATATATGCCTGGCTCCAATGGTTCATTAGTTACTACCATCAAACTGGAAATTAAATACAAAATTTCAAACTTGCCACATTTAAAACTGTACAAAACATACCTTAACATAAGCTGAACACTTCTGAACATCTACTAATACAGAATATTTCTGGACCCTACATTACAAAGAAGAAAAGCACTGATCCTATCTCAGAAGTTTACATGGCTGCCATGTTGGCATTACTGATTGCATGAAATTATAAAGTACTGAGTTGGACTGGTATCTTGTGGCATGATCTTCTTACAAGGCCTCATTAAATGACTGGGACACCACATGATAGTGGGAAAGACTGGCCACATGCACAGCATGGTATGCTTTTTTTTTTTTAATATTCATTAAACAAATTACTATATGTATCAGCATTGCAGCACTTACTATGAGGTGAGCTGCACATTATGAGGCTGCATGGTGAGCTGTACTGTCACTTCTTCACACTGCTCTGGGTGCTCAATGCTTGTATGTTGAATCCAGCTCACCATACAACCTTCAAACATGCAGGACAGCATAGCAATGCAAATCAAACATTTCATTCAGATCAATATACACACAAAGTAACGCAAATGTAAAGCAGCCTCTGTAGTCTAGAGGTAACGTTCCCACCTCATGACTCGTGGTACGCAGGTTCAAACCCGGCGGAGGTTGTCGAATTTTTAAGGGCGGAAAAATTCAGGGAACAAGTCCTCCAGGAGGGACTTTAAGCCGTGTGTCCCATGTTGTAGCTTTACGGCACATAAAAGAACCTCATATCTCCAAAGGAGGTCACTGAGCCAAATTCAAGGACGTTTCCCGCCCAACAGTAGTCTCTAACACCTCTGATAGATGGGGGAAGCATTATAGATACCGCCAAGCCAGTGGAGGCCGAACTTGCTGGCTCGGTCGGGACTGATGGTACGCACCAATATCAGCAGGGTATAGAGACTGGTAGAATATCATAGAGGGAAGCACAATGGACCTATACTGGTCTAAGTGCATGGGGAAACACACCCTCTCCAATAACTAACTAACGCAAATGTACAGGTGTCCCAAAGTCTGAATATATCATATCATATGTAGGTGGACAGGGGGAATGGAATACCTCCGCAATAGAGGGAGATCATGCGAATGCAATGGCAAAGAGAAAAATTTTACCCCTTCCAGGAAATGAACATATTAATTTTTCCCTTAATCAGTCAACTATCTCAGCTCAGGCAAGCTAATGTTCAGGGCATTATTGTTTATGAATATATATAAAACAAACAGGAAAAAAGATGACACAGATGTGCAAGATAACACTACAATTTGCTCAACAAAAATTTACCCATTTCCTTTCTTGATTTCACTATTTTATAGCAATGTACCCATTGCACCAGTTATAGTGTGATACGGGATACGGCGCGACTATTTTGAAGGACAAGAAGAGAGTTCTGAAAGAAAGTGTTCTTCACCTACTATGGCCCAGCCACACACCAAAAAGGACCGAAGTAAACACAAATGTCAATAAAATAAGAGCACATGATCCCTGGCGTTGAAGTGTGCCTTCCAAAATATGAATTAGGCATGATTTTGTGGGCTGTTTTACACTGTTGTCAGTATTTTGGCTGTGTAACACTGAATGGAAGGTTGACTGATGAAATGGAAAGGATAGTGAAAGAAAATGGTCATGGCATAATCAAGTACTATTCAAGGTGTTTCTCTAGACAGATTGAGGACAACCATGAAAAATCCAAGGACAGCCACTGTACTGGCCAAGATTCGAACCAAGCACCCTCTGAATATGAATCTACAGTGTTACTGCTATGCCACACTGCTCAGTTCAGCCACGTTACTCTGAAGCTAATCTGCTCTGTGACAGAATAATAATTCGTAATGTGAACAACAGTATATTACCATATGTAAAATCTGCGTGCAATATCACGTCATACCCACATGTTTCATCACAAAAAATTAACAAGTTCAAGGCAGAGCTTAATTTCCTTCGAATGTTTCAGTCTAGGCAATAAGGCTAGTAACTGCAATTTACTGACCTATTTCTGCACGTAATTTCAACAGGTAAAGTCCCTAACTATGCTCAATTTGATGAATACAATCTCAAAATTTTGCACCACTGATGTATTTGTAATTATTATGTTTAAACAAGTTTTGTACACTTACGGTCTATTTCTGTACAAAATGCTGATTTTGTATCATTATAATGTTGTTTCATATTATTAAAAGAACCTTAACAAAAACTTTGTATTCTCCAACAGGATACTGACACAAAACTTCAGAATTCTGCACTACTACTCTTACTACTACCAGTACTTGTGTTTCCTCCATTACACGCATTCTCATGATCACCATGTTGGTATCATAGATGGCATAAATTTAAAGGTGGATGATGCACATACCAAGTTTCATAAAAATCTACTGATTCATAAAAAAAAAGTATTTTGGGAAGGGGCACTGAAAATAAAACCATATTTCCTTATAAAATAAAGCAGGCAAAATATGAGAAAATGTAACAGGATGAAATACTTATCTGCAGTTCTGAATGATTCAGGAGACCATTTTTGTGATAGAAATTAATAAAGTACAGACCCCTACTGGCCACAAGTGCATCTTTTTAGCCTACTTTCCTTATTCTGAAAAAATGAAAGTAGGCCAATGCACTCTCTATGCCGTGTATCCCCCCTATCAGCTTCTGAATGCCTGAACCAATCTTTATGATACTTAGTATCACAGCACCTGAGCCTATCTCTTCATAAATCCCTCCTCCCATCAGTCTGTGTATGTTTATCCCCTATTTTTGTCAGGTAATGGTTCAGTATTATTTTTTTTATTGCTAGTGGGGTGGGACTAAGTAACCTCATACCTCCAAAGGAGGTCACTGAGCAAAATTGTGGACGTTTGCCGCCCAACAGCAGTCACTAATACCTCCGGTAGATGGGGGAAGCATTATAGATACCTCTCAGCTAGTAGAGCCTGTCTCGCTGGCTGGGCGGGGCTGATGGTAAGCACCAATACTGGTAGGATATAGAGACTGGTAGAAATCATGGAGGGAAGCACAATGGACCACTACAGGTCGAAGTGCAAGGGGAAACCCACCCTCTCTAAATAACTAACTAACTAACTAACTAACTACAGATGCAACAACGGAATTGTCTGATGCATAATTTTTTATGCAGTCCATATCGTATCAAAGGAAGCAGGGGAACTAGTTCTTCCAAGAACTTTTTTCTTCTAGAAAACGACACTGCACATAACAGTAACAGTAACAGAAATACTGACATCTCATTCATGGAATTTTGGCATCTGACGAGTAAACCGCGTGCATCACGTATGTCTCTACTCTTAAATAGGATCACCAGCAGAGTTAAGGAAATAATAGTAACTAAATAAATATGAAGCCTATTCATTTTGTGGAGTTCCTGCAAGACTGGGATACAGTGTGTATATTCATGGGTCTCATGTTGAAATGTTTATGAACGCAACATGGCAGGAATTATTTTAATTATTGTATCCCATTTATCTGAGCCTCAACATGGCAAGATCTTGTACAAGGATCCATAACAGATATCCCAGGTATCCTGTGACATGCTGATGTAAGACACTTTCTGATTGTCCTTCAAATTTATTGAGTTCAGATTTGGGTACTGCAAAAGTTTAATTAAGAACTCTCCTTCACAAGATATATTAACTATGACAATTCTGATCAGGTATGAGTTTCTGTTCCCATACATGCAATACAAAACTTCAATAGATGATAGACACAGGAAAATCAGACCATTCCAGTTCACTTCAATCCAATCAATATTTTGAGATTAATGTTCCAGTGAAATTTTGACATTAATTCACACATCATCAGTTTTAGACGCTAGCTTGAACACCACACTCAACCAAAAATATGATTATTACTTCTTTTTTTTTTTGTGGTTTATTGGCGTACTCTCTCACCTATATAATCCACCACCATCAAATGTAATAACTGTTGTGCAATGAATAAGGATGTGCAACAAAGTAATCATTGTCTGTTTTAAGGCACAATCTCCGTCTTAACTGAGTAAAACCAAGATAAAACTGACACAAGAGGCCCAGAATGAAACACAAGAGCTAACCACTAACCCTTGACATTTGGTCTAAACATAATTACCCCACCCATGTCAGAAATGACAGTTTCTTCCTTTCTTTTGCACGAAACAAAACAGAGCTACTTTCCAAACAAGCAACAGGAGTTTCTACTATACATGGTAATTGAAATAATGTGCTGAAATACTGTGTATTCCTTCTGTAAAACAGCCACGATAGCTCATTTGGTACAGTGACTAAGCTACAGGCTGAATAACAAGGAATCGAGATTCAATTCTTGGCAGGGCACAAGATTTTTCAGTTTTCCACAGCATCCACATTGGCTCTAGGCCCACTCAGCCACCTATCCAATAGATACCGGGTTTATTTAGGGGAAAAACATCCAGGGCATGAAGCCGACCATTCACCTCCATCAAGAGCCAAGGTGTTGAGGTATACCTCCATGTATCTTCATGGCATGGTGTTTAATTAAGAAGAGGGACAACTTTCTTTTTCCACTTTTGTAAAAGAGAATTTTAAGGGAATGACATCATAATACTGCAGGAAAATATGGACCTCAATGCAAATCTTAACAGCTTTTGCCTCCGAAGACTACAAATGCCTTTGTGTCACACTTAACATACAAGAAAGTAATAAAATTAAATGTCCCCTGCCATACTTATCTCTATTCAAACACAATGTTTATTCCAGCATTTTGGGTAACTACTGAACTTCATATGACTGAAAAATACTGTGATGTGCCTAATCCTCACAAAGTGAAATTATAATGAATTATGTAAACATTTAACTAAAAAAAGTAAAGCTATCCCTGTAACAGGCCATGGAGACCCATAGGGTTGTAAGACATCGAGGCTCCCATATTTTCTAGACAATCGGAAAGCGGTGAGGTTATCAGTCTTACGATGTTGGCTGCCAGTTAGCCATAGGATGATTCCTGGTATTCATTTCTGTTAGAGGCTGAGCCAATATCAGGGCCACAGTGCCGCTGGAAGAATTAGTTCAACTGAAGAATCCACTGACCTCACTGAGAATCGAACCCACAACCTTTCAGCTTGTACCATAGTGCCTCAACCAACTACATTATTGTGCCAAAACAGAAATAAATACTTCTTGTTAACAACTACAAATTTGTTTCTTGTATGTTTGCAGAAGCTGTAAGTGAAATATTCTGCTAAACAATATTTGTTTAATTTACAATTTAAGAGCTGTGACAAGTTAAATCAGTACGTGACTACAGGTTCAATGACAGGAGTTCAATTTCTTGCAGGACCATGGACCTTTTTACTTCCTACAGCATTCAAACTGGCTCTGGAACCAACCCAGTCTATCTAATGGGTCCCTGGAGAAGGGCAGTAGTGTGAAGCTGAGAATTCACTTCCACCCAGTGCCAAGGTTGAGACTGAACACGAGTTTTTCTTCACTCATTCATCATTTTGGGATTAACCATCATACAAACTATGCTAAAACTAGTTTCATTTTTTGCCTGATTCTCTTGTTTTGATAAAAATACAATGAGGTTTATGTGATCACCCTGCTGTTTGTGTATTCACCCCATCATTGCTAGTCAATGGCTTGGTAAACACATTCCCACAGCAACGAACACACATGCAACAGCAGAACTGCTGAATACAGGGTTATTTATGTAGTTCATGTTGTTATCAAATAGTAAATAGGTAATGAAAAGAATGCAGGTGATTAGTTCATACCAGACCTTCTTGCTACCTTCAGATTGGAAAGTGTCAAGCAGTCATCATCAGATGCCAAAACATAAAATTATTAAAATTTATGCTGTAATGCATGGAATACTAAAGATATATAAATGGGCAAAACTAAAATATAATAAATGAAGTGTGTCTGAATAAATTGCAAATAAGTATGTGAATTAATACACAGTCTTACCGTCTGTCTTATAATACAAAGAAAACCATTTTTTTTTTTAATTTTCTTGAATGTTTTTACAGTGTTCCTATATGATACTTTTGTGCCCTACATTCTTACACTACATATAAATTTTTTATATTTCTGTTGCCTCTACAGATTCGTAACAGCCAGGACCGTGCAGTCAGTATAGCAACTGGCTATGGACTGGATGACTAAGGGGTTGGAATTCGGGTCCTGGTAGGGTCAAGAACTTTCCCTTCTCCAAGATCTCCAGACCGGCTCTGGGGTCCACCCAACCTCCTATCCAATGGGTACCGGGGGCCCTTTCTCCAGAGGTAAAGCGGCTGGGGCATGAAGCTGCCCACTCACCTCCAACCAGTACTGAGGTCAAGAAAATGTGGATCTATACAGCCACTTCCCCATACACCTTCATGGCGTAGTGCTTAATTAGTTAAGCACAGGGACAACTTTACCAACTTTAGCTTTACCTTACAGATCCACTCACTCACACCAGGGCATATTTATAATTCCATGTTATACGTTAATTTTAAGTCATATGGACTGTGGTGTGAATCTTGATGGGGTTGTCAGAATAATACAGCCCGAGGCTGAAGTGGGATGGAATTCTTGTGGCAGGGTAGTCTCCACATGAGTGCCAACATTTATCAGCTGGCACGTGCCCACCTGTCATTGTCAGTGGACAAATTTGTTGTGATCCACAAATTCTACCTGGCAATATTTTACCCATCTAGGAAACTAATTACTTCATAACCAGCAACTTCTTTTCATTCTCACATTTAGAGGTGTGACTAACCAAGTGATCTGTTTCCAGTTACAGTACTGCACCCCTCAGAACTGGGAAGGCTATGTTATAAACCCTGCATCCTTGGAAGATGGACATGTTTAACAAATTATTTCATACAAACTCATGCATACCTTTTAACTGAAAATGTTCAATGTGGTGATCTTGGTTTCTCTTTGATTTTAATTCTGCATGATGATATTAATCTTTATAGTGCAAACAAACTGTACTGTGAAGAGCCATATTTAGACATGCCAGCAATAATTAGAGTCACAGACTCTTATCTGTAGTGTATAATGTAAGGAAAAGTATCTGCAGAAACACACACTGATGCAAATAAACCACAAAGAATTTAATTTTAACCATCTTGCCACCCACACTAACTGATTTTATTAATTATTGTTCAATAAGTTTAAACACTGTAAATTAATTTATTATATATGAAATAATATTCTGGGCAACAAAAACATAAAACCTACTTCAAAAGATAGAGAAGGTGCACCAAAATAACACTCATCTAAGATAAGGTTCAAGGCAATAATTTCTTTCACCATGCACATCCATTTCACTTGTCATATGTTTTCTGTATTAACGGTGGGGAAAAACCCTTTATTGAAACTACTTTCCAATATGTTTTGAAACGATTTATTACCAACGCATATATGATGATATACAATCAAAATCTGGTCATCTACGTAACATATCTTGATGGTCAATTTGGCAGTACAATCTCTCTTCTTATGTTTAGCGCCTGTTTTCCAATCTGGGTACTTGTCTGGGCTATAAAATCTACTATCTGAAGAGGACTGGGACTGACATTTAAATACTAAAGAGATACATGATCATGTTGTATCCGACTGATGGAACTGCAAGCATAAAAGCTAGTTACTAGAATGGGGAAACACATAAAACTAAACAGAAATATGTTTTATTGTACTGTATATATACTAATAATACATTTCAGTGACACTATCAGATGATTTCTGGCATGTCTGGGACATCTAGATCACTATAAGCTATAACTGGTCGATTGGCAGAATCATTTGATGAAAACCTGAAAAATGAAGAGACAGAAGGGCCCTACCTATTAATAACAAAACGTAACAGAATTTTGTTATACTCCTAACTATAACTGGAGGTTACAAGGAAATAAATTTTGAAACAAAGCCGCAAGTGTGTATATATATGACGTACAAGGTACTGAAGGGGACAAAAGACTTCATTTTGGAATTCATATGATCCTTATTATAAAATCTTAAGTGAACACAAGCAATACAAAATATATTGAAATAAAAGAATTTACATACCTGCCCCTATTGAAGCCCCCTCTACTGGGACGAGAGTATCCCTGGTTGTAACCTGTGTTGTAACCATAGCCACCACCATAGTTGTGACCACCATATCCTGCATGTCGGCCTCCATAATTGTACTGATAACTGAAAGGAACATGTGATAATGGTTATATACCGAATTTCATGACAAGAACATAACATTTATTCAAAATGTATATATTTTTAGGTCCCTCATATAAAGTAATGATTTTTATGCAAAATGATAATTTTATGTTGTATTTTAGCGTCCTGTTGCACTGATTCATATTCATAATGTGTATATATTAACAGTCTTCAAGTGCGCACAATCCCATCTACCACTTCTACACTACATGTTTCGGCAGTATGCTGCCATCTTCAGGTGTATCAATCTGTCAACTATTTCCCTGCTTGCCTATATGTCCATTTACAAATAATATTAAATCTGTATACATCCTTATATAATAATAAAGTTTATATATTTATATATAGATTAAAACGCTGCATGCGTTGTATCATTCCAACGATACAACGCACTCAGCCACAACAAAGAACACATCATAAGACACAATATACACACAACATTAGAAAAACAAGAAGAACGACCCCCATGTGGATGATTAATAATACACACGAATTTAAAAATATGACATATGAGATAACAGGCTTTAACAAGTTTTAAATACATAAACTTTATTATTATATAAGGACGTATATAAATTTAATATTATTTGTAAATGGACATATAAAGGCAAGCAGTGAAATAGTTGACGGATTGACACACCTGAAGATGGCAGCATACTGCCAAAACATGTAGTGTAGAAGTGGTAGATGGGATTGTGCGCACTTGAAGACTGTTAATATATGCACATTATGAATGTTAATTTTATTTTGCATTTTAAAAATACATTTTACCATATGGGGGAAGATGATATCAAAGCACTAAGTTATGAATAGCAGTCAGAAATTAAATTTGCAAGGCATATGATCTTGCAACTATAGGACTGACACTATGTTGGTGGGATTTATTTATCACTGCTGGTAACACTGTATGTTGATCCACCATCTACTGTTATTGTGTGTACAAACCAGCTGAACTTGACTTCTCGACTGGAACAGTGATCCGTGAATCTGTACTGTAACACAGTTTTCAAAGGCAAGAGATGTGTTAGCAGCAGAAATTAAGCTTGTGAAATTTGGTGACAAAGATGTTATGAGGCAGCAGAGTATATGAAAATTGTATGTCAAATTTTGAGGTGGAAAAGAAACTAAACCCTCTCAATATTTACACACAGCTTGGTTCATTTTAGAAAATTCAAAAGTTTCTCAAAGCTTCTTAATGTTTCTAAATTTCATCTAATATATTGACACGTGTAGGAGGGTAAGCGTGATGAAATGACGGATTCTAGTTCGGATGATTGGATTTATTAACAGCTTGGTTACACACACTCTCTTACTCACACTCAGATACAGTGATGTCGTTGATTTACATAACCTAATAATCCACTGCACACATAGTCTTATAAATCACAGCTGACATCCTCACAGATGACCTTCTGTATTCCTGGTCCACTTCACTTGCTTCCGCCACTCTCAACTACTCTTAACTGCTATAGTCGAAGTCAAACTGAAGACTGACTACTGCTGACTGATTTCTTCAAAGGTCAAACACAAACTGACTTCTGTTCTGCTGACTCCTGAATACTCCAAATACTGACTAACACTGTCTTCGGCAGCTGCTACATTTCAACTGAACTCCTTAGGCGTTCCTGTCTCTCCTATAAACCCAGACTTGGACAGGTGAAAATTGCAGCTTGCTTCACTGTGGCATGACGTTGGGTCTACAGAGGCATCTTGGCAACGCTGCCGAGAGTTGTTTATTGCTGGGTAGCAACCAGCGCTCTTTGGCTCAGCACAGCATGGAGAAACACTGCTTTCCTTACTGTTGCATAACTTGGCAACCGACTGTTTGTCAAGAGTCTCTCTTCGTGGTAACTCACTCCACATCCCACTGCCCAACAATGGCTTAATGTGTCACAATATATATAAAAATTCAACTCATCTGCTTTCTGTTTCCTACTGTACATCTAAAGGAGAACCTGGATATTGTGAGTTTTGTCACATATTCCTGCAAATATGTAGAATAAAAACACTGAAACGGGGGAAAATAAATAGAAAAGGTCATACTACTTTCATTTCATCAATAATATGAAAATTCTGCGTCCTCATACTTTTATCTTCTTCAGGAGGCACATATCCCAAAACACAGATTATCCAATCCACTGTCTGTGAAAACCATGTCATTATGCAGATTTATCAAAAGATTTAACATTTCTTTAGCATTTAGTATCTTATTTTCCACTCCTAAATCAGAATGTTAGTGTTAACAAATCTGCTTTACATTATAAACCACCGTTTGAATTGCAATTTATAGTGGAATATTATTTTTTAAGTTTGCAATCACACTCAAATTCACCATTAAACAAATTAATTGCTAATATTTCTTAAGAAAACCTCACAGAACCCTGGGGTTCTGCAGAATATGGTTTTGTAATCACTGCTCTTACCCATTTCAGGTATCGCATATGTAAACCCATAATATGTTACACACAGAAAACAATTCACACAAACAGCACCAATGCAGTCAACTTACTGTGGTACATATGGTGCAGGAGCTGAGAAGCTCTCCCGTTCACTGGCCCCATCTTTTCTTTGGTGACGATTACCAGGATGTTCAGCCAACTGAGGTCGTTTTGGGTCCCGTAGATAATTGTTAAAGTATTCAACCTGGAAGTACATGAAAGCGAAATATATACTACTCTGTCCAAAAAGTATCCGACCTTGGGCAGGGAAAAAAGTTCTGCATCAGGGTGGTTACAATACCTAACTGCCTTCAAAGTAGGCCCCTTGTGACTCCACTCACTTAGCCCAGCGGTCCTTCCATGGCTGGAAGCAATTCTGGAAGGCTTCTTTTGGAATGGCGGGCAGCTGCACCATCACGTTCTGTATGATGTCCTCGCGGCTGTCAAAACAGCAGCCTTTTAGAGGTGTCTTCAATCTCGGGAACAGCCAGAAATCACAAGGAGCCATGTCAGGAGAGTAGGGAGCCTAGTGAACATGCAGAAGGCCGTGCTTGGCCAGGAAACCCTGGATCAAGTGTGATGAATGAGCTGGGGCATTGTCATGATGCAGCTGCCAGTTGCGTGTGTCCCACAGCTCTGGTCTCTTGCGCTGAACTGCATCACGAAGATGGCAGAGGACTTCTTGGTAGTACTCCTTACTGACAGTCTGGCCTAGTGGTGCGTACTCATGATGCACAACACCCCAGTAATCGCAAAAAACAGTCAGTATCACCTTCAAATTGCTCCGAACCTGTCGTGCTCTTTTGGGCCTCGGGGATGTGGGATGCCTGGACCTTGGTTTCCGGGTCATACCCCAAGTTTCTGACAAAACTTAATGCAGTATCACTGCTCCAAGTGTTCTGTCATCTTGAGCGAAACGAGAATGCGATGAACACGTGTTACACCACTTCGCTATCTGGCAGCCACAGACGCATCCGGCAGTGTTGCGAGTCAGCAAAAAATCATGCATGCACATGAAAGTCCCTTCTACCACTACGCTCAGTTTCCCCACCCCTCTGGCCATTACTTACAGTGGAAAAAAATAAAGTCGGATACTTTTTGGACATACAGTATATTGTTTACTGTAAGATTCAGCAATAACATCTGGCAATATAATATGTAAATATGTCTGTTGATTACAACAGTTTTATACTTTCAATAATTATTATGTAAATTTATATATGAAATATTAGTAAATAAATTATTAAAATATTTCAATAAACTAAACNACAAAAAAATGATTACGAGATCATATTGCAGTGTCCCCCCCCCATTTTGTTAGGAAACTTGTGGGATCACCTTGGCATCTGTGTCTCCCCCATTTTTTGTTACATGGCTTATGAGATAACTCTATTTTATAAAATTACTCCCATTTTTCCACTAATCTTCAATAAATACAATTTCAATTTATTTTGCAGAGCTAGGAATTGGGCTCTGATTACCAACAGGCATAAGAGATTTTTTCTTTTTTTCAGTGTCCTGTCGGACCCTCCCAACCTCCTACATAATGGGTACCAAGGGCTCCTTCCCTGAGGTAATGTAGCAGAGGCATGAAGCCAACCACTCACCCCATCCAGTGCTAAAGTTAAGAATGATTGGAGCCCAAATCTTCATGGCATGGTGCTTAATTAATTATGCACAGGAAAACTTGACATATGTATGAAGCGTTTTCTCTTATAAATAATTGACTGAGTAAGACTCTTACCTCTTTCTTCACTTCATCAACTTTCTCCGCGTGCTTATTGAATATGTGCTTCCGTACAAATTCGGGCCCCTTGAACTTCTTTCCTGAGAGTGGACACAACCACTTGTCTTTAGCTAATTCCTGTGTATTTGCTTGGATGAATTTCTCTACCTCACTGAAGTTGTAAGTTAAGGAAAACCATTCAAAACCAAGTTGCATATTATGTTACATAGTTTTTATGAGCAAAAAATACATCTGCCACCTCATCTGAATTCAAAATGTATTATTCTGGGATCCATAAACTTGTTCTTGCGGAGATGGGACGCAGATGTCTAATTGCACATATATGGTGATACTAAGTGCTTATGGTGAGATCAAGTCAAAAAGCATATACATGAGAATAATAATGAGAAATTCTATCTTCTGCTTCATGCTGAATTCTCACTTGCCTCACACTTCTTCCCTGAAGATGGAAATAATATGTTCTTCTGAAATGCTGGCTAACTTGGCATTACATCCTGCAATAGAGAACTGTTCATAATCACTGTCACAGGAACCTACACCTTTTATTAGAGGGGTGTGCCCCAAGGTCTTTATATATTGATGTGAAGCTCTACAAATCAAAATTCTGGGTTTTACGCAGCCGACTGAGAATCTGTATTAGATGTTGGTAAGAAGATAGAGACAAAAATACACACAAAAATTCCAATATATATTCGTGTCCCTTCACAATGATAATATATGGATAACTAATAAATCATTTGAAAATTTGGCAAAATTAACAGTTTGGAATGAGAGCAACAAATCAACATTACATTCACATCAATATTAAGAGAATTTCCGATTTCGTTCAGAACATTTTATCTTCCTGTCAACTACCTAAAGCCTATAATTTTCCAAATTGTTTTGTATGTTTCAGCAAATATACAGTAGTTCCCCAGTTCCTGCCAGCACCGAAAGCTCCCCTCAAACTGCCAAAATGTGCTCCACTGAGCTGCATTCAGATGCTTCCACATTATTAAGTATATTTTGCCCTTCAAGATTTTCTTAAGTTCAGGAAACAGGAAGAAGTGGCAGAGACAGATGTGGTAAACAGGAAGGGTGTCTCAGCTGTGGAATACTGTATTAGGATAACAACTCGTGCACACACTGCGATGAGAGGGCAGGTGTATAATCATGGTGAATTTGCAAATTACCACATCATATTCCTAATTTAATGGCTATTTATGATGAACATCAGCAAGATATTTCAGCACTTGCAAATACAAATAATGACACAAAGTTATGAAGCATGGCACACAACACCCTCATAATAGAAGGAAACAAACATCATCATCACAATCTCTGCTGCCCACTCAGCATCCTTTTGCTGGGTGTGTAGGTGAGGAAGAGGACCACCACTGTGGTGATTACTGGTTAATTTCAGGGTCATAACAAGACCATTTTGTCATCTATTTATCAATGACTTTCACATGGAGGACACAGACCAAATCAGAATTTTTAAGTGAAGACAGCACATCCTAATCCAGTCCCAAACAAATGCAGTCCTAAAGATTCACACAGAAGATCTTGGTTCCTGAATCCAGACTATAAAAATTTTCATTTGTTTCTGCATAACAGGTTAGAAGTCACATAAAACTGCTTATTTCTTTCTGCAACCATGGAACAAAAATGGTTGAACTCTTATTTCCAAATATCTGTTTCAAACAGCCTGACAAGGACCATAACAAACTACTACCCCTAGGGCACAAAGTTGTGCACTCAGCTATTGATTCAGTATTTCTACTGGAAGAAAGGGGCAACTGATGCTCTTCACTTCCTTCGTAAATACATCTCTCTTCAGAAGAAAGGAACTGCTCAAAATTTAGTGCCTGATTCACCAATGCATCTCTAAATGGTATCCATGTCAATTACATACCAGTTGCCATCCTTCCAATCCTCCTAAAGCACAGAGACTGTTCTGCAGTCTAGGGCATCATGAAATGAATTTGTGACAAAGACACATTAATAGTTAAATGAGCCATAACAACTGAAGCAATGTAATAAGCTGTAAATATACCTGACATGTAGTAACATGTCAGGACAGGCCATGCCATAGCTCAAGCAGTTAGTCGCTGGCTTCCCATCGCGGCGGCCCGGGTTCGATGCCGGGTCTGGTCAAGTGGGATCTGTGGTGGACAAAGTGACGCTGGGGCAGGTTTTCTCCGAGTACTTCGGTTTCCTCTACCAATCATTCCACCAATTGCTCCACAATCACCCTCACCTATCATCTGAGCCTGGTACAATAGGCCAGAAGTGGCCACAGTACAAGGGACTTAGTCCCACCACACTAGAAAAAAAAAGTCAGGACATATTCATCACAGCCACATCCTTGTGCAGTGCAATTTCTCTAACATGAACTCAGACTCAATATTTTTTGATAAGATCTCATACATTATGTCAGATAACAAAGCCTCAAACTCAGGTTCAGTGCTCTGAGGTTTTCCAACCAAAATTTTGTATACATTCTCATTTCCTCTTACATGCTACACATTCCACTGATTTCATTACCCTTCTTACATGGTGCAACTCACGTTTAAAATTTAACAGAAATAGATCTAACAACGAGATTCATTGTCAAAATAAATTGTGAAACTCCAGAAACCTACAAAAAAATGACCAGAGAATTCAACGAACAAAAACTATACCACCACACTTACCAACTGAAGGAAGAATGAGCATATAGAATAGTAATTAGATACTTTCATCAATCAACAAAAATAGAAGACATAAAACAAGAACTAGCTGAACTAGGACACAGACTGAGAAATATAAACAACATATACCATAAAGCTACTAAAGAGCCAGCACAAAACAACAAAAAGATCTATGAAATAACAGGACTCCAAAATAGAATAGTAAAAATAGAACCTCCCCACTCAAACAGAACAAACACAATCCAATGTACGAGACTGTCAACAGTACAGCCATACAAAGACATACTGCAACAAGCCATATGTATGCGTCAAATGCGGCGGCCCACACAACACGACAGACTGCAAGAAGACAAGGGAAACACCAGTCAGATTCGCACTATGCGGAGGAAATCACCCTGCAAACTACAGAGGATGTGAACACTTTCGTAAGCTAACCACAGGTAGCAGCAGAAGTTTTACTCAAAGACCCTGTACTCCAGCAATCTACACAAATGAATCCTACATGAGAAATATACAACCTTTAGAAATAACTCAACCCAGAAGCTGTGCAGAAATCATAAAGCGAAATTTATCCCAAACAGAAGAAACAACTAATATACTAGCAAAATTCCTAGATGAATTCAAAAATTTAATTCAACAATTAATAGAACAAACTACTATGGTACTAAACATGCTAAGAACACACTTCAACAAGATGAAATAAATGGCCAAATTCCTAAGAATAGCCTAATGGAACACCAATGGACTTCCAAATCATCAATAAGATATAAAAATATTTCTAAACACAAACTCCATCGACATCCTACTAATCAGCGAAACCCACTTCACCAGAAGAAGCTACTTCAGTATCCCCAGATACAAGCTTTACCACACAAACCACCCCGAAGACACAGCCTACAGAGGCACTGCAATCCTAATCAATGAAAAAATCAAACATCATGAACTGCCAAAATATGAAAAACATCACATACAAGACACTTCCATGAAAGTCAAAACATTTCCTTATGCTTTCACCATTACCGCAGTCTACTGCCCTCCCCACTATAACTTTAAGAGAAACCACTTCGAGTCATTCTTTCAAACCCTGGGTACAAAATTTATAGCTGGCGGAGACTACAACAGCAAGCACGCATTTTGGGGCTCAAGACTTATAACAACAAAAGGCAGAGAACTATACAAGACAAACCAAAATAAAAATTACTCCATCATATCAACTGCAACAACAACATACTGGCCCACCGATGGAAATAAAATTCCTCACTTACTAGACTTCTTCATAACAAACAGCATCTCTCCTAACTACACAAACGCAAATGCAAATCTTGACCTAACATCGGACCACACTCTAATCATTGCAACAATAAGCACATCAGTTATACTAAGGAAATCAAAGCCCAGACTTTACAACTCCAAAACAAACTGGAATCTCTTCAGGAAAATAATAGAAGACAACACAAAACTTAAAATTAAGCTGAAAGAACCAACCAACATAGAAAATGAATGCAAAAATTTCATCACCCTACTACAAGAAGCCGCCAAAACAGCAAACCCCATAAATGATCCAAAGAACCCTACATATAACATACCGTTAAGAATAAGACATTAATAGCCGAAAAGAAAAGAGCTAGATCAACCTGGCAGATGAATTACTCTTCGGAAAACAGAGCAAAATACAACAAAATTAGCAATAAGCTCAACATGCAATTACAAGAATTAAAGAACGAATCTTTCGAGAACTATATCGCAAGCTTCACAAGACAAGACAGTTCCATCTGGAAACCAATAAAAATCAAAAGGAAGCCCATATTAGCATTACCACCAACACGCAAATTCACATCACCCCCAGGAAACCAGGCAAGAAGCGATAAAGAAAAAGCCGACTTATTTGCACATCATCTACAAGAAGTATTCACTCCACACAACAATAATCAAGTACAAGAAGTAAACTTACTTTCTAAATGAACCCATACAAAGACACCAACGACCAAAGCTCTTTACCCTAAATGAAATGCAAGCACCAATAAACACTCTAAAGCCAAAAAAGGCACCAGGCCATGATAACATCACAGCCGTAATACTAAAACATTTACCAAGAAAAGGCCAAATAAGACTCCTATATATATTTAACGCCATACTTAGACTGGACTATTCAAAATCACCCAAATCATAATGATCTTGAACCGACGTCACATCCTACCAACCAATAAGCCTTCTACCCACAATTTCAAAAGTCCTCGAAAAACTAATACTCAACAAAAAAGAACCAAGAATCAAATCCACAAACATGGATACCAAACCACAAGTTTGGTTTTCGAAGAGCCCACTCAACCATCCAACAAAGTCAGCGCATAGCAAATACCATAACTAACGCACTAAATAACAAACAATACTGCACAGCAGCATTTTTAGATATAGCCCAGGCTTTTAACAAAGTCTGGCATCCTGGCTTACTTTACAAAATAAAAAGAATCTTCCCAATAAATTATTACAACTTATTCAAGTCACATTTAAGTGGAAGATTTTTCAAAGTCAAAATAAATGAGCAAATATCCAACTGCCTACCAATACACGCAGGGGTGCCCCAAGGAAGCTTACTAAGCCCACTATTATACACCTCTACACACATGCTCTAATAATAATAAAAAAAAAATAAATAAAAATAACCCAAACAAAGGGCAATAGGTACTTTTGTAGATGACACCTCTATCTTCGCTAGCCACGACAATCCAATCACAGCTTCCTCGCATCTGCAAGAACATCTAATCCTCATATAAGCATGGCTAAACAAATGGAAAATCAAGGTAAACGAATCAAAGTCCACACAAACAACCCTCTGAAAAGGCACGTGCCCCCCAGTGCAAATAAATCACATCAACATACAACCAAAAGAACCGGTCAAATACCTAGGATTAACCTTTGACAACAAACTAAACTGGAGACAACACATAATCAAGAAAAGAAACCAGACGTATCAAAAAACCCAACTGGCTCACAGGAACAAAATCCCACCTCTCCATCGGAAACAAGTTACTAATCTACAAAACAGTCATCAAGCCTATATGGACATATGGCATAGAACTCTGGGGCTGTGCCAGCAAATCCAACGAGCATGCCTAGTCCAAAATACTCTGAACCATCACGAATGCACCATGGTATGTATCCAACCACACCCTACATACAGATCTATAAACTCCTTACATAACAGAAGTGATCCGAGAAAACAGCACCAGGTACTTCAACAAACTAGAAAATCACTCCAACCCACTTCTTCAACCACTACTACAACCTCACCAAAATCGAAGACTCAACATTAAATTGGGGGAAAAGTTATGTCAAGGAACATTACATGGTTTGAGTTACACCACATACCAAAACAAATTAATGTATCATTCAATGTTCAACTGTGAAGAGAATTCAGCAATATCATTGTACTGAAAAATACACACATAACAACACATATGACACCACAGGTTTAACATGTTGAGCCCTCAGATTAACAGTTGAGATTGTATTAATCAGAAGTGATCATGCTTCTGTTTTTCGTCACAGGGTTCTTCACGTGAGTAGTACTCATTTAAGCATCCTGCTGCATTAATATAGCCTTCATTCATAAAATATACTTCCATTGCACTGTGGACAGAAGTAGTGTGTGTGAATGAAGAATTAAATTTAAACTGTTGTGGAGGGAACTAAAAGAATTGGGCACTTGTCTTCTATTATGTAAATTCTAAGTAACTGGAAACAATGTTTCTCGGTTTAAGGTTTTCCTTCATACAGTACAAAAACTGATAGACTCAACACCATTAGCTATACCTCCACTCCACCATACATTTTCGTGGCATGGTTCTTAATCAATTAAGCAAACTTACCTTTTTTATGTTGGAAGTAATTAAACTGAATTTGTAATAGTCACTTTTTTTCCCACAGATAACTCAACGACTCTTCCAGTATTGAGACTATACAGAATTAGATGGTAGGATGGGAAAGATGTGGAAGGAAGCAGTTGTAGCCTAGTCAAGATACTATCGCAGCATTTGTCTGGAGGGACTGAGGAAAACAATGAACTGTCTCCATCGGGAGTGCTGATGTCAAGGCTGAGACGATTTTAACAGGACTCCTCCCAAAACAAATTACTATATCAGACTTTAACAATGAATGGAAAGCGACATGAGACAGAAATGGTTAGTTGAAACAATGGGAACAGGTTATAACAATGTACAGAGATCTGTTATGAGAAAGGGAAGGTTTATTGAAGCAATGTGACCTACCCACACCAATGCAAGTGGGAGGATTTACACAATGGTCAGCATAAAGTTACTGAAATGTTGATGGGAAATTGATAAATACAAACTTCATCCAAAGTACCTAACCTCAGTAACTTGGAATGATTTGGGTAGATGGCTGTATTTATAGTAAGATTCTAAACTTGGCAGAACATGTATTATTCTGCTTACACACACACAGTATAATAGAGCACCAATGGATACTGAATGAATGAATTCAGAATGCTTATGGCTAGTTTTACATAACATGGGGGGTGTTTAGAACAAAGGTAGAGTAGGGATTAGATTAAGTCTGGACATGGAGTTCGAAACTATCTGGTGTGCAGAACGAAAATCTACGAAATTTCGGGATGGGCAGCTCTGGATGTAGGGACAGAAATTAGAATATAGACATTCAGATGGATACTACATTGATGACCAGTGAAATACACGTGCAAGAGGATCTGGTAAAAAAATTAGTTCGGACAACATGCTATTGCATTATCATAAATAACTGTAAGGCATTCATGCCTTGGTTCTCAAGCAGAAGATAGAGGAAAAAATTATACCAGAAGTAAAACAGCAGGGACCTTCATATCTTTTTCACAAATGCATAAGAAATAACAAACTGGATAAATGAAGTGCAAACACATTCCACAAATTCTGTTCACACAACCAAACTTTAAAGGATACACATCAGGATCTTTGTGACCTAACTTGCTGTACTCTTCATCTGTAATCTTTGTTGCTGGTTGCAAAAAGGAAGCAATTTTCTGCTCGAAAGTGCGACAATAATCGCTGATCTCCTGCTGAGTTACCTGCAACTATAAAAGGAACCAAGTTCACAATCATCATGCAACAAATATCAATGACGTGTAAGTTTCTTTTTGAGACACAAAGGCACAAAACCTCATGAGTAACATGTCTAGGGATGGGGGAGGAAAGGCCACAGATGAAAGGATGCATAAATGGAAAAGTTACGGCACGTTTGATAATATATTCAATGTCACTAGTAAGTACGGAAGCAACTAAATAGATTAGAAGAATCCACATGAAAGACAATATAGCTAACTAGATACAACTTGGCAAATCTTACACAAGTGGCTTACCTTTGATGATGGAGGAATACCTCTTGCATGCATGATGCCACATCGATTTGGCATCTCATCTTCATTTGGATACTCACAATGATTATAATAATCCACAGAGTGGACGATACGTAGATAGAACAATAAACGGTCCAGCACCTGCAAAGCGGAAAGAAAATGATCCAACATTTGCAACACACACTTCAGTCATATTTCAATTCAACAGTATTGGAAAGGTGTGTCCCAACAGAGCACACATACTTTCCAAATGTACTCACTGTGATTCTGGCCATATTTATTGATGAGACAAGGCTACTGTCGCAAAGCTACTTGCACTGCAGTGGGACATTGTTTTTCCTTGTGTTTAATTAAATATCACATACCAAAGAATGTTTCAAATAACAGTTGAGGACCTTATGAGATCTAGTATTATGTTTTGTACCAATCTTTTGTGTGATGAGCCATTTATGAGAAATATAATAGTTCCAGCTGGGCTTCACGTACAGTGAAGATGACCAACTGCTATGCACCAAAACTAGAATTTCTTAACAGCACTTAAGTTACACCAAATCCATTTTATCACCCTAGTAAATCTTAGCATGGAAGCTTCCTATTTTTTTTACTAGCCTTCTGTACCCTTCTGTATAAACATTCCATTACTGCACTTCTTGTATGAAATTTAGAAATGGACAGTGCAATCTCTTGTATGCCTGTGACTCACATAATCTAAACTTCACAATGATGTCACTGAAATCATATCAAGTGACTGCACATAGTCAGACTCCGACTGACTTGCAGGGAACTCGCTTCACTGCTGATGGATGGCAGGAGAGAGATCAATGAGAAGCGTTATTGCTGTGACTATTTTTACTTTCCAAGTAACAATACAAAATAATATTTCAGCCACATATACAGATCAGTCTTCCATTACTCAACTATGGCTGTTCTATTATATAATGCTGCTACCATATCAAGTTTCTCATGCTTGTACGTAGGTCGTACCGAAAGTCATAAGCAACTTTTTTTTGCCTTCAATCTGGGAACAGCAAATGAAAGAGAGTATGGTGGTAGGTGGAACCAGCTGTTGTGTTAACCATGAGTGTCTTGTGATGTCAATAGCTTGCATCACGTGACCACTCCTAACAAAATGGCCGACAATGATATGTCGTTTCGCCAGCATGCTGTCATCGAATTTCTTGTGAAAGAGGAAATCCCTGCTGCAGAAATTCAACAGACACTTCAGCGTGCTTATGGAAGTGTGTGCATAGGTGGGAGCAGTGTTCGAAGATAGGTGAAAAATTTTAAAGATGGGAACACCAGCATCGAAGATGAGCCTCGTAGTGGTCGTCTTCGAACAGCCTCAACTGAACGCAACAAGGAAAGATTGGATGAGATCATTCAAGATGACAGGTGTGTGACTGTGGACACAATAGCCCGAAAACTTGGAATAGGGCACAGTGTAGTACAGGAGATGATTTTATGCTTGTTGGGTCCCATGGTTATTGACTGAAGACCACATTGGAAGCAATTGCAAAGATGGGGTGGGAAGTTCTTCCACACCCCTCCTATAGCCCTGATCTGGCACCCTCCAACTACCATCTTTTCGGATTTGTGAAGGATCAGCTGTGTGGACAACGTTTTGAAACAAGGGAGGCAATTCACGAAGCAGTGCGTCAGTGTCTTCGGATGGCTTGAACGGAATTTTACAGAAGGGGAATTTTCAAACTCCCAGAACGCTGGGAGAAATGTGTACAAAGAAGTGGCGATTATGTGCAAAAATAAAGAAAGGTCTGTAGATTGAGGTGGTGTATTTGGTTTGTCAATAATAAAGCATGTTACTTTACAAAAAATTGTTGCTCATGACTTTCAGTACAACCCTCGTATTTTAATTGAATAGGACTTCTGAGGCAGAGTGGGAAGGTCTGGGTAAAAAAGTGCATTATGGTTGTCCACTTCTTCACTTGCAGACAATCTGGCTTGTGAATTCAAACCTACTAAGTATTTCCTCAGTGTTTTAGAGCAGTTCTCCAACTACAGATGGATGGGACAATCAAGTACTATCACCAACATCTGGCCACTCATGAAGAAGGATCCTGGCAATCGTGTGATAAGAGTACCTGAAACATGCTTGCTTTTAGCTGTAACATGAATGGGACAGGATTTACCAGAATCCTTGGAGTAATGCTAGAATCTACAACAGTGTAACACATACCTATACTGTGGTCCTAAGGGTCATTAGACCATGCAGTCTGATAGGCAGATACCACTGTTTTGGAGGAAAACATTGCCCCCAACTTCAGTGTGGAAGTAAGTGAAGTTGAGAAAGTGGCAGTTCGCATAGAATTACAGGGAAACAAAACAACTCATGGATGGTAACAAGTGTGCAAACATCCACCAAAAGATGGTAGTTGGAACCTGTCAAGCAAGTTGCCTCAAGCCATAACATTTGTGATATATGATGTTTTCTCCAGTCCCTCCAAACAAATGCTGGGGGGAGTACCTGAAATTAGACTGCTTCCACCCCACCCTTCAACACTTTATACTCTGAACTACTGATGATGTCACTATACAAACCACAAACACTAGGTTCAAACATGCACTGTAAGATGGACAATTTTATGATGTGCATAAAAATGCTATGAAATCTGAAACTGCTGAAGGTTACAATAAATGTGTCTTGTAGCCAAGCCACTGATTGGCAAACACTTGTTTCACAGCAGGAAACAGGCCAGTCTGTGTGTCTTAACCTTGACCATCTTACTGAGGAAGTGAAAACAAACCCTTGCTTCTAAATGAAAACCAAAAATATGTGACTTCTGGAGTAGTTCCTTTGTTCCAAAATGGCAGATCCTTGTTTGATCATGAGACAACGAACACTGATATCACATACTAAAACCACAAGCATGATGCTAGTGACCAGAGAAAAGTTAATTTCTTTGATCTTCCTTTTCTAAGAATTTTTTAATATTGGATTAGTACAATTACTACCACTGGCATCTTAGCAAGATAAGAGAGGTGGTAATACTAATCAACATAAGATCAAAGTGTGAACAATGTTTAGTGTATGGAATTCGTCACCAACTGTGAAATTCACTTTTATAAGTTACCCAGGGTGGCCGGTGTGTAAAGCTGACAAACTCACTGCCATCTGTGAGCTGAATGTCTAGAGAATGTGGGAGACTCAATGTCTCACAACTTTTATGGGACTCCACTGCTTGCTACAGGGATAGCTTTACCTTTTCATAAGTTACCCTAAATTCAAATGTGTGTAGGTAAACAGAAAGTATCTAAAATGCTGTTCAGTTAGGCAGTATTCGGTACTGAGAAACGATGCCTTGCATCCCTATGGGCCTCCACAGCCTGTTACAGGGATAGGTTTACCTTTTATAAGTTCCCTAAATCCAAATGTGTGTAGGTAAACAGAAATTATCTAAAATGCTGTTTAGTTAGGCAGTATTCAGTACTAAGAAAAGCTTCACACCCCTGTCATTAAGACTTGTGCAAATTTCAAAGCTTCAATAGACTGACTTAGCATACACAAATATACTATGTACCAATGGGGAAAGAGTTGCATATTTTTACAAACCATGTGGAACTGTTGACCTATTTTGTTAAATGTCATGAAAATTGGCAGTAATACTTATATAACACCTATGTAACTTCTGCTTCAAGTATATTCAATGTATTGGAGTTGATACTGCAGTGTATATTCAAATTTTATAATTTATAAATTCCCAGAAACGCTTTTTGTGTATGCATGCATGCATGTGTTGATGTGCTCGCATGCAGGAGGTGTAATCAAACACAGACTTTCTGAAGTGATGCACATTCTACAAGGCTTTGTCAAGAGGTGTAAAAATTTCAAACATAATGAAATTTGTAGTAAATAGAAATTTCCCCCAAAGACTTGAAATGTTAGCAAAAAATAAAAGGTATAGCATATCCTGTTCCTAGGGGTTGGCATTAAAAGAGTTAAAAAGTACATTACACTGTGTATTTTGCACTGTCTTAGGAGACTTCGAACTCAAAAGATTAAACAAAGCAGCTCCTTTACTCAATTTTATAACATCAAGATATAGTCTGTGGCTAACTAGAAAACAGACCTCATGTTCTTTAACATTAAACTCTGAAATAAACATTCAGTAACACCACCAATTTGCATCTGTATGATTAGTCAACCTTAATGAGTGCTTCATCTCTCTCAACAGTGGCTGTATCATCACCAAGCTGCCCCTCTTCTTGATCAGCTGTATGTCCCAACAGTTCCTCCTCTTCTGCAGAAGCCTCTTCAATCAAGTAGTCAGTGATATTCTTCAGCACAGGGTTCTTTGACACAAGACCAAAGCTCTGAAAACATAAAGAAATGTCCCTTCTTCAAATACAAATCCTGTCAATCAAAACTGAAGGACCTCCAGAATTCTATAATTCACTTGGGGGGGGGATCTAAACAGCAGCTTCCTTTTTAGATTGAGTTTTGTAGCTACAAAGCAATCAACTTCTTCCTCTATGAATTCAAAACAAAGTAACATCCAATGTGAAAAGCATAAGATACCATTAAATAATGCAGAATTACTCCCACTCTGTGAGAAATATAAACAAGTACCTAAAACATGGCCTAAGGAAAATGTACTGATATTAGAGGCATAATTCTCCCTACATACAGCTGGCTCAGCTCCTCCATCATTGTTAGACTACTTGGTGTGATAAATCCCAAAGGAGAGTGCAGAACATCAAGAGTTTCAAAGCAGGAAAATGGAAAACTTTGAGCTGCACGCCAACATACAATTTTGCCAGCATCTGGGAAAATTGCACTTTCAGCTGTGGGTCAACAAACAAGTTTACTATGCCTGGAAAAATTTATGACAGAAATGTCAGTCAGAAAATGGAACGCTTTAAGTTGTGAGGTACAAAAATTTTGCCAGTCACTGAAAAACTGCTATAAATGCTTTGAACAACTGCAGCGAACAAATACCGTTGAAGTCAAGGAGTTTTGTGTGGCACCAAAGGTTGAGTATGGATGTGAAGACAATGAGCACCATGAAGAGACTGCAATATCACTGAATAAGGATAACATGAAACAAATGCAAAGTTGCAAGCTTGAAAGATTGTTGCAAAAGAGAGAACGTGGTATTTCTTGTATAACATGCAAAGTAAATGGCAATCCATGTAAAGTCACTGAGCACCAAAAGTTCCAGAAAGACTGTTTAAAAGTTGAGGGATGAACATAAATTGTGGGGGTTCAAAAAGAATATGCTAGAGAGTATATGCAGATATTCAAAACATGAGGCTGGAAAAACTGAATAAGGAGTTTTACAGTTTGTACACTCCACCAATCTTATTAGGATGATCAAACAGAGGATGATGTGGGTGGCACATATACAACACACGGGTGATGTGAAATGCAAACAGACTACCAGCTGGAAGATCTGAAGGGATGAAACCACTTATAAAGGCCAGGTGCAGATGAGATGATAACATTAAAATTTATCTTTGAGAAACAGGGTGGCTCCTGTGAACATGGTAATGAACTTTGGGAATATACAAAAAGCTTCTCAAGGAAGATTCTGTTCCATGGTGAGAGTTAATTACAACAGACTTACTGGTAATGGCATCTGATGAGGTTCCTTTTCCTTTGTCTTCTTAGCGTCTCCTTCTGATGCAAATTCACCCTTTGCTTCAGGTGAATCAGGATCTACCCAGAGTCCTGCTTTAGCATCTAAATTATGAACAATGCGTGCTGACAGTTTGATATCATGTCTAACAACTTGACGATGTGATGTAATACCATTAACTGTCCTGATGCGCCGGCTCAGATCACGATTCACAATGGCACCTAATTCACAATCCCGCAGCTAGAAAAAAAAATTATGTGCAAAAAGGAAGACACCTCATTAAAACAGAGAGACAGGCCCAGAACGAAGTTACTTTCTGTTATATACTTTCTTTATATGTATGTGTTTAACAAACACCTTATGGATACACTCTAAAATGCACCTTGAAATTTCTAAATAACTTCAAGCATATGTACATCACAATCCATCTTAACAGGCTTACATTATCTTCAAACATGTAACACGCTCAAGTGTCACTACACCATTTGTTATGACATGCAAATACAGTATTATGGAATTTTAACTGCAATCATAACTTCCAGCATTCAAAAGATTCCAATTTGTCACAACACTGGCAGTTAAGACCCTCTCATATAAGGTTTGCTGGGGTAAACATACACAGAGACAACTTTATACTGTGACATAAGAAAATATTCTGTTATGTGTAAATAGGTCTTCACTGTGACAAATGTATAGAGAGAGAAATTTTTACTGTAATGCATGAGTTAAGAAGCCAAAATTTTACTGTGATGCATTCATACAGAGAGAACCCGGCCTTGTAACTGCAAAATTTACACCAACAACATTCCTGAATTTAAAGTGACCTGCAGGCTGGACAGAACACAAGGATCTGATATTAAATGCAAAATTTTAAGTGGCCTATTTTAATAACTAACTTACACGAATATTGTTAAGGTTCCAACAAATCTCCTTGATGTTCACTTGTCTCTCAAAGGTAACCCAGCCTCTTCGGAACCATCTTCTTTCTGGCTGGGGATCAGCAATGGCAACTCGAAGGAACCCAGGATAACGTTTGCACATCTGAAATAACAACTCTTCTATTAAATCTGCAGAGTGGAGATCTACAGTCAAATGCTGAAGATCACTGCCAAAAACAACTTCTGCAATTCATACTGTACAAAACAAAAGACTTCCACAAAAATAAATGTATAACAAACTAGGATGGCCAAAGTGGATATCACAGAAACTGGCTGCTGGCACAGACGGTTTATCCACAATAAAAAGATTTTAAAAATCATCACTGGTGTATCAAATGACAAATTCATCTGCTCAATTATAATGTTCCATCTAACGCAACACAGATAACTTATAACATTCATTTTTTTACTAAAATCACATCACCTGAAGATGACCAGATAAAATGGTCGAAACATGTTGCGACTTTCATAAAACAAATTGAATGTTATACATTCTGTGTTGCACTAGATGGAACATGATAATTGATTAGTTTGATCACGCAACAGGATGCATTCCATAAAGACTGACAAATCGATGATGAAACCAAAGCCAACCATTCTGCAGCAAGATTACAAACTGAGAACTTTCATTGCTCCAAAGGGCAGCTTCACTGTTTTACAGCTAGGAGAGGCATCAACATGCATAATGTGTTTGGCAAATTGGATGCAGTGGACGCCAGTTGTCATGGAAAACTGGCTCCAGTCCTAAACAGTTTTGCAGCAGTATTCACCCTGGGATATTTATAACTGACAAAACTGGCCTATACTCTCTTTCCTGATAGAGACTTCTGGTTAAAGATGAACCCTGCAGGAGAAAAGATGTAATATCTTACTGTGCCATTGTGTGGAAATATGGATTGATCTGACTAAATGAAATTGTCTGTTACTTGAAAGCCACAGTGTCCTTCCTGCCTTGAGAGCAACATTCTTCCATAGCCATATGAATCAGAGAAGCAAGGATGACATTCAAGCTGTTCATTCAGAGGCTGGTTTTTTCATTATTAACTGCACATCCTTTGCTGGAGCTCAGAAATATTGCCAGGGAGACTAAAGAGTGTTTGTGATGGGAGTGAGCAATCTGGACATTAACAGGCTGTCAGAAAGTTCCAATTTCTGGTACTGGGGTCTCAGTTGGTGCTCAAACACAGGTCTAGATGCAACTACATGGGGACTCTCCTGTCCTTGTTGCAAAACAGAGGGTGGCTGGAGGGCACCCCCCCACACAAGTACTCGGGGGTGGGGGTGAGGGGTATCTTCCAGCTTTGAAGGGCTAAAATGCCGAGTTTTCTGTCCTTCTGCTTAAGGGGTCTCTGGATTGGGGTGAATAACCTGAAAGGAGGAGGGGAAGTGGACAGGTTAGCACATGAGGAGGGTGAGCAGGGGGATTAGGCCAATGTAGGGAAAGAGTAGTCAAGCTAACAGTAATGTACAATACACAATGATAGCCAAAAGAATGAAATATAGTAGTATATATACATGATGAATAGAGATATGGTTGTGCTGACAAAAATAAATACAACTGAAAATATAAAATAACATGATGCTACAACATAATGTATACATATATTTGTAATATTTGGGGAAGTATTTCTATTATGTATGTACAGAGCTTACTAACCGCTTCAACTTCTTGTTTGGTGATAGTTGGTGCAAGATTCCTTAGAAAAATGGAAGCAGTTTTGTGAAGTGGCCGTGGCTTAACAGCTTCTTCACTAGTACCTCGTTTCTTCTTACATTCCCTTTCTGTTTCATCACCTTCCACACCTTCTTCAGCATCATCCCCACTATCCACCTTCCCATCCTCTGCAAGAGTCTTCACTGACTTATCCTTGCCTTCCTTATCAGACTGCATTAAAATAAGAAGTACATGCCATCACACTCCATCCTTATATTTATTTTCAAGACAGGAAACAACATATGCAACCTTGAATTATCATTCCACAAATATACAACACTTCATATAATTCAATAAGGATGAACAAAGCATGAACCTTACACAACAATATAACTCACATTATCTTCGCGATCATCAGACTTGTCTTCCTTCTTTGCATCCTCATCTTCATCTTCCTTGTCATCACTTATATCCATTTTCTTACTTCTGTTCTTGTCCTCATCTTCTGCATAACTATCATCACCACCTTTTCCTTCCTCCAATCCAGGAGGAGGAGGTTCATCTTCTTCCATACCTGGAGCACAATTCCACATTAGCGATTAAAATAAAACTCCGTGGCCTGTAGTCTGCAAGAGAAATATATAGACCGAGTCACTGCCACTTGTCGGCAAAGTTACTGCCAACTTTTTGCAGACAGAGGATGTCACGCGGTCAGCGTGACGGATCCCCACGGCCATTAAACTGTTTTCTAGACCGAAGTTGCTACTTTTCCACTCAAGTAGCTCCTCAATTATCCTCACTAGGCTGAGTGGACCCCATCCAGAGCCACTACTTCTCAGAAAAACTGGTAGTGCCGGGAATCGAACCCAGGACCTCTGGATCCGAGGAGATCCCCACATTAGTAATACATCCCAGAATCTCATAATATACTTTTCTCAACATAAAGATATTCTCATAACATATGAACTGGCATTACCTAATATAGTTTCTTCTATATAACTATGAACAGGACAAATTAATACTGTCACACTCAAAGAAAAACAACTCTATATACAGAGATTTGTAACATGTGACTCACAAGATGAATACAGAATTTATGTTTACTGATTATCTCTGACATGTTTAATACTGACCATTATTGTCACCAGGGGCAAGAGGTTCATCCCCACTCTCACTGCCACTCTCATATTCATATTCCCTTTTGCGTTTCTTGCTTTGACCTGAGAATAAAAACACTGTTATGGGTTGAAATTAAAGACGAGTCCAATCAGAAGAATATACCATGTTTTATTGAATACACCACACAGACTTTAGTAAAGAAAATGTGTGACCAAAAACTGGGGCATGCAGCTTGTGACAAGGTTTGCTGCAGTGCACAGCTTATTCTTTATGAGGCTGCCAACATTACTCACTCCAAGCACCACTTTAACTTACGTAACTTCATCTTCCTGCTTCACACCCATATAAAGCTGCAGTATTTGTTAATATATTGTTCCACTAAATGTAAGTACTAAAGACATAGGTTTTTCATCTTTCACTATTAATAAAAACTGAAAATAATTAAAAAGGCAAAAGAAATTGGAAATTGTGCTCCTGGCAGAGAGACTCATGTTCTTGGAAGCTGCGTAAGAGGGACACAAAAGAAACAGCTGATTCTGCAAAGCAGTGGTAGTCAGAGGGATTTTCATGGAAAGTAAAATAAAATATCCTGAAATAGAGCAAAAGGTCTGTGATTATGTAAGAAAGAAGTGGCAGTTATTGTGTCAGTTAATGGTCTTTGTGTTAGCAAAACAACACTGAATTCATGATTTTACAGTAACAGAAGGATGGTGTGATTTTTTGCGAGAAATGTCTTGCAGGATCTGCATAAGGTGTCTCCTAAAAGCAGGATGTCAGTTCCTGGGAGGTAACAAGGTCGCAGCACAAATAAATGAGGAAGATGATGCGGGAATTTCAAGATCCTATGTATTATGTACACTTTAATACTTCAATATATTAAAATAAACTCCCTTTTACCCTTATTTCTTAAACAGTGGGATGCACGACTTATTCGAGTTTATGGGTATTCAAGAAAACATGGTACATAACACACAAATGCAATTTTATAGCTACTTTCAACAAAAATAAATGATCTATGCAAAACTGTTTCTTACAATAAAAATCATGTCAATATGTAGGACAGATGCAAACAAACAAAAAATAAAAATATGCTGCTTCCAACCACTTACAGTGAGCCAACAGAAACTTTAGCCAGTCAACTATAAACAGCCTATTACATTTATCACAAAACTTGACTACCACGCTTTCTTTTTTAGAAATACACACTTTCACATTTTATCACTTTATAATAGACAGCAGACCCTAAAAATTTTATGGACTTAAAAATTCTGTATTTAACACTTTGTGGACCACGCACCCTTTAAAAGGTTTTTCGCTTTTAAACATGGCGGACCGTTTGCGTGTTAACAGGTTTTTAGAAGACGATAAGTTGCAACACACTATACATCGCTCTGGCACAACCTACATTGCATGCAACTGCCTGCAGATGCGTGATAAGACTCTGGAATGTTTAGTTAGCAGTTAGTAACTTGACCTCGCTGTTTACTTAACTGACTATAAAGCCTTCTTCAAGCTGTGCGTATCAGCCAGTAGCTAGTGGGGAGAATGGATCAAGGACAAATTCTCCTCCGAAGACCTAGCTGACCTGCCTTGTGAGACGCGTAGTAATGGATTGTCATTCAGACCGCGACAGCGACGGGGGACAACAAAGAATTGTGGCCACAGACAGTAAAAGTGACAGTAGCTCCGACAATAATGCGGGGAATCTAAAAAAAAATCTAAACCCTGATTCAAGATTGAAATACAAAGCATTTCTGATGAATGTGGCAAAGGCCTGGGCTACAGTCCAGATGGTGGCGGCAGAACCAGGGTCACACAAAGACTTAGTACAACCGGGCCCATCAACTTCCACCCCACGAAGGCCTCATGTGGACCCCCCAGGGCGACTCTTGAGTGATATGCGGAAAAATACCCTCGTGAAAATTGTGAAGAGTGAACATTCCAAGGGGAAGAATACTTCTAGGCAATGCCGTGTTTGCACAGTTCACAAAAAAAGGAGTATGTCTACATTTGCAAGTTCTGTGTAATGCCACTTCACAAAGGGGAAAGTTTCCAGAAATATCACACCCTCAAGCACTTCTAGGAGCATTGGTAAGTGTTCTCCAAAAATTTTAGTTCAAAAAATTAATTAGGAGATTTTATATTAATTTTTAAAGTGAACAGTGCACAAGTTAGGGTAGTATGTTTAAAAATGCCGGTCCCCAGGGTGATTTAAATATTTAAATCACCGGTCCGCGAAGTGTTAAAAATGGTAGAATACGTACTGGGAGCATCTTCTTCTTCCGCTGACTTCTGTTTGAGAAACTCTTTAGCCTTTTTCTGCAGTTCAACCTGCTCTGAACTGATTGTCAATTTAAGAGGCTGTGATGGATCCTTCTTCAGTTCTGAAGATTCTGTAGCCTTGTCACGTTCCTTCTTCTTTGTGTCTTCACTACAATTTAGAAAAAAAAAATAACACATACATTCACATGTCACACCTTTGCTAAAGGACTTTTTGAGATGTCAGCATCAGAGGTTCTCAGACAGAAATGACTGGGGGAGCACCCATGGCCTATTCAGGGGAGAACAAGCTGAGGTCTGGAAAAGAAATAGAAACTGGCAAATCTTACTTTCTATACCTTTGATCACAAAAATGTACAAGGGTCGAAAAAATAAAACAAGCAGTATATGTCTTCCTTGCTGGTATCCAAGAGGAACTGCAACCTTTCAATACAGTCCTTGTTCAAGAATTTTAGATTTTCCAACACTCATGACAGGTGATGGATGCCATCAACCAATCAGTTTTTCTTCACAACCACACGAGCATGTTCAGCTGCTTGTTGGGTGTTCTCTTTCGAACAATAATTCTTTTGCTGAGATTCCATCAGAAGATCAAAGTGGCAAGGGCTCATGTTTGGGGTTTATGATAGGTATTTAAGGATTTTCCACAGCTGACATACTATAATGCCTTACGGCCACGCCATAGCTGAAGTGATTAGTCGCTGGCTTCCCACTGCGGTGGCCCGGGTTCGATCCCAGGTCTGGTCAAGTGGGATTTGTGGTGGACAAAGTGGCACTGGGGCGGGGTTTCTCCCGAGTACTTCGGTTTCCCTTGCCAATCTTCATTCCACCAAATTCTCCATCATCATAATCATCCGGGGCAGGTACAATAGGCCAATCAGTGGGCCGCTGTGCCAAGTGGACCCAGTTGGACTCCACCCCCCACTAAGTGAATTTTACTATAATGCTTTGATACTGGTGGCCACATAGGTGTGAATATTATTATGCAACATGACTGATGGATCAGCGCAAAAATATGGCCCTTTTGACAGAACACTGGATGCAGATGATGCTCCTGGCACTTATGAAATGCTGTACATCAATAGTGTGGTCCTGTGGGACTGCATGGCACACTGTGACATGATTTTAGAGCGTTACAACAGCCCATCTCCAAGGTCACTGGTCACGCTGATGTGAAGTGTTAATTGGCTGACAAGCTAACTGCCAATGCCACTACAAATATAGTGTTTTTGGCCACTCTTGTGTTATTCTGCAGATGTATTGTAATGTTACCACTATAGTTGGCCAGGTAGAAATTAAGCAAGTTATTACGTTTATAAAAAGTTCACATGCAAATGGTTAAGGTGTATTACTGCAGAATTATGAAAATCACAAATACACAATGCAAACTCAATTAATTTAAGTATAAACGAGACAGGTACCATGTAACAAACATGAAAAACACCATACAAGCCTGATTATAATCAACGCCGCAACACCAAAACGTTTTGATACCACAACTGAAGTTATGAATATAACAGCAAATATCACAACAGAAGACTTACTCTTCACCCAGTATGAACGGTTTAGGTTCTTCTTCTTCCTCTTCCTTCACACTCCCTGCCTTAACTTCAGCATCTCCAGAACCCTGCTTTTCTGTCACTTGCCCTGCTGTTACAGTGCCTGCCTTTGAAGTTTGATTTGATCCAGGTCCCGCAGATCCCTGACCCGAAGCAGATGTTGCTGGGCGAGGCTCATCCAGTGCTAGCAAATCATAATCTGTTCCACCTTCAAGACGTATCACAACAGCATCAAGCAACCGGATCAACTGCTCTGACTGATCTGCATCCACAGACACTTTATCCAGACGATTCTGCTCCATAAATTCCATAAATACCTTTACACGATTCTGCAAGAAATACAAAATTACTGAACACTGCTCAGTAAAAAGGTAGAGGTAAAGTTGTCCCTGTGCTTAACTAATCAAGCACTACGCCATGAAGGCATATAGGGAAGTGAATGTATAGATCCACATTTTCTTGATCTTGGCACTAGTTGGAGGTGAGTGGTCAGCTTTGCTCCCCGGCCATTTACCCCCCCCCCTCCCAGAAAGACAGCCCTCAGTACCCATTGGATAGGATGCTGTCATGTCTTATCCTGAGACCAGGGGGTCAGCAACATATCTAAAATGTGAATCATCATCAAACTGTCACAATGGAGGAAATATGGACTGTACAATAGTGGCCTTCCTTAACCAAGTTCTTCTTAAAACATTGTAGGTATATAAGATTTGAGGCTTTCACGGCGGTGACTATGAAGAAAGCAGTCTTCTGGGATTTGGCACCATGTATATGTGGTGTTAACCGACGTTTCGGAACGACAGCCTGGGCCTAAGGACACCGGGTGTATACAGTATCCCATGCGAGTGCGGGAAGGTCTATATTGGGCAGACAGGCCGCTCCATGGACATGAGGTTGAAGGAGCATCAGCGGCACATCTGTCTCGAACAACCGGACAAGTCAGCCGTAGCTGAACACAGCATCGATCTGGGACACCGCATTCAGCTTCAGAATACCTCCATCCTCGCCAGCAAGACCCGCTATATGGATCGCATAATTAGGGAGGCACTTGACATTGAACTGCATCCAGAAAATATGAACAGAGAGGGGGGGTTTTGTCTCAGCAAGTCTTGGAAGCCTCTCATCTGTTCTCTTAAAAACCCCCACCGGGATATGACGCCAGATCCAGAAGGCCACACAGGCCATGACCAACCAACATAACAACCCCCCCACCTCAGCTTACGGGTTAGTGCCCAGCCTTTAACCTTGCCTTTCTCTCCCCCAACACAAAAACCATGCTTGTCCCAGCTCCTTCCCCCCCCTCCCACTCTACTGTTTTCACTTGTATACTTGCCCTTCCCCCCTTCCTTCTCTGCTCTCACATAGCTGTGTATATTCCCAACACCAGTCTGCTTTTACCGGTTCTCATGGTCTCTTCGCTTGCAGATTTCTTATATTTTTTCTTCTACCCTGAAGATGGAGGCGATACGTTCCTCCGAAACGTCGGTTAACACCACATACACACGGTGCCAAATCCCAGAAGACTGCTTTCTTCATTGTAGGTATAGTCACAATGCATACACAAATTCACTTATTTAACGTTTCTTAGGGGTACTTACATGGGCATGCAACTTATTTCTCACATTAAGAGAATAAGACAGACTGAGGGTAGTGAATAGGGGGCTGAAAATATTTGGACCTAAGTGGAAGTACAAGGAAACTAGTAAAAACTGCATAACTGGAAGCTTCATAATTTGAACTCTTCAGCAAATATGGTATTATTATTTGGATGAATTTAGCTCAAATGGAAGGCTTAATACACAGAAAACATGAACATTCAGAAGACCTGAACACAGATGGGAGGATAATATTAAAATAAATCTTAAAGATATAGGGTACTGGGCATGAACTAGAAGAATGTGGATTTGGACAGAGAGTAATGGTACACTCTTGTGAACACAACCTTTTGGGCTGAAAGAAAAAGTGGGGGATTTCACAAGTAACACCCTGCTCCATACAGCTGGTCAGCTGTTTATACTTTTAGGGTAGGCTAAGACAGTCCCTTGGTACTTCAGCAATAAATCGACCCACTGTACCAGACCCAGATGAAAGGCGAGAGCATTTGGTGGAATGAGAACTGGAAAATTAAGTGGCCGAAGAAAACTTGCCCAGAGCATTTTTTCCCACCAAAAACATCACATGAACTGAACTCAGGTCACTGTAATGAAAAGACTGTAACCAAGCACCTGAGCTATGGTATGGTTGGGTAGTTATGGGGAGGCAACAGATTTAACAATGACATCATATGAAATAACCCTAACAATGAGAAACTGAGAAACACTGAATGGTGATTCCACAGTAGTGTAGTGAGAGCCGAACCATACCTTCAGAGCGGTCATCTGCTCATCCTTCCTCTTCACAGAGTCTTCTGGATGGTACTTTATTTTGAACCTGAAGATAACCGAGCAAACTTGTTTCAATAAAGCTTGAAGTGGTGGAATCATATACATCAATAAATTAAACCCATGCCAAATAAAAATACTGACTTATAACTAAAAATTATGGTGTACAGAGTATGGAAAAAAAAATTCTAGAATGCAGCAATATACATAACATAGCAACCAATGAAGTAAAACATTGTCTCTAGAATAATGTGAAAAACTTGATAAGCATTTGTACATGAAGAACTGAAGTACGATATCTGTTTTTGTAATGTAGAGGCTAAACTTTGAAGTAAATTATTACCCTTACATTTCACTATGTTGTGTCTAAATCACTTTTGATCTAGACTACAGTAAACACAAATCTTCCAAATTTCTACTCTGTACACAACGTCTGAATCCTTCATATGAAAATATTATTTACTACACTAGTTAAAAAAAAAATTCTAACTCCTAATTCTGGAAAAATGATGCATACTGCATATGCATACATGAAACATATTTCTGTCAAATGCCAACTGTATAGGATGCAACTTTGCTCTCTAAAGACACTACTCTGGAATATGTCATTCTGCTGCACATGCCATAAGTGAAGGCTGCAATTTGATGGTTATGCAGAACAAATAACTGACTTTTTACACATATGCCAAACTATAAGTGGTGCGCAATACAATAGCTGAAGACAGAAAGGTTGTTAAAACAATATATTTATAAAAACTGTTTCTAAATTCCTTGAAACAAATTTGCAGTCCCACAGTCAGCTGTGTAATCTAAATGTTTCATTTACTTGTCCTGACCACAGCTTCATTCTAGCAAAACATTAGTACGTCCATAATACTTTATATCACCGACACCAACAATACATAAAAACAGTGAGTGATGCAGGATCACCTTAATACACAACCACAGACCTTATAAAATTCAATGCATCTCATTTTATGTAACAAGTCAAAACACTATAGCAAGAGTATACAAAATCAGCTCACAATTTTTCTTCTTTCAAGTTATCTATCAGACTTCCTGATACATGCTTCGATTTTGCTGAGACCAAAATATAGCTGTTGAAAGTAACAGATATACATCACATAAAAATAATTCTGTAACAATATATGGATTGTGATTTCTTTAGAATATACTCTTACAATATCTTTCTTAAATGAGAGTCTTCTATGCAATTCTTCTTACAGAGGGTCTACTGCAAAAATGAATAATCTGAGAAGTCAAATTTGACCACAATGTCACAGATTTCTGGTTCTATGTATGAGATTCAGGAAATAATTTTGAGCACACAGCCCTGGGATTTAATCTGTGGACCTCCTAAATCAGACATTTCCACAAAGCTATTGCACTATCAATCATTGTGGCAGTTCTCTGGTTAAAACTACCATATTTACTAAACTATAAGATGAAGTACATACAGCTCCTTTTATTTTCACTGAAAATAGTGGGGACAGGATAGGAGAGTTGATTAATATTCACTAATAAAGAAAACTGTACAAAAGGCAATCCCAGTCACTGGTTTCAGAAAAGCAGACACATGGAAACTGAGGCTTATACTGAAAACCTTGTACTCATACAGTATTAATATATCTCCTAAGTAGACATCATTTACCTTCATAACTGTTATCACAATTCACATCTACTGCTGAGGTATGCCACAGTTAACAAATATTGCTAATTTGTGAATGTGCAGAGATATTTATGACCGGCATAAACAAGTTTATGGTATAATACATCACATTAAGTAATCCTAAATATCCTTGATTATAAGATAAACCAAAGAGGCTAATAACTGTGAAGAACTGAGGAAATACATCCTTTAGGCCAATGTGTGGTAATGAAAAATGACAATTACTAGGTGCAAATTACACCAGAAAAAGATTCTGTGGACCTAAAATAATCCACTATGATGATATGAAATAAAACAAAATCTATGAAAATTGTGCCTACAAATATTTATTCAAATGACAAATAATTTTTCCTGAAAATCTCCACTGGGAAAAGTGGTTGGTTGTCTTGTACCCAAGTCATCTTATAGTTTGTTACATATGGAATGAAAGACTCAAGAGAACTGTCAGTTTCTAACGGCACATGACATTTGATAGAAAAAATAAAATCGCAGTACACATCTAATAAATAATCCCTTCAAACCAACTGTATGGATACATCTCAGAATAAGGACTGCAGTCTGTGTATCAAGGCATCTTGGACCTATCTCAGCAGACACCAACCAGATTTTGCTCCCCTTAATCAACATGTTTTAAATTTCTGCACACATCATTAAATTCTAGACAACTGGAACTGTAAGTGGGGTTGAAGGGGGAGTAAAGTAGAGCTGAGTGATGAATTAGAATCTCACCTGCTTGCTGGCATTTTATATGGTGCCCCCACATGTGCGAACGAGTGAACCAACGGCAGTTTCACAAAACAGAATTGCAAATCGCGATTGATTCCCTGACTAAAACCGCGCGATACAAACCCAAAATATTATTCAAAATATTTGGGCTTTTTCTCTCGGATATAAAATATATACGACCACTGCATTGTGCTCAGCGGTATACGAGCTTAAGGCAAAAATATATGTATATATACATATATATATATATATGCATGGATCCATTCACAGTAACCATATTAACACAGTACATAACATTTGTGTCTAACAAATGTACTGGTGAATTCCATTGGTGATGCATATGTTGATTATTCTTCTTCTTCCATATTTCAATTATCACACTTGCTATTATTATTCTCCATATATTATAATTATCTGATTCCTTTTCACCACAAACATTTCATTGCTTTCATTTCAACGCAATTTTTCCATTCTTATTCGTGCATATTTCACCATTTTTATTCCATTTATGTTGCATCAATATACCACACACACAATGTGACACAAAGATAAAATATGTGTATCTTCGGTCTGGTTCAGTAGCATCCTCTTAGTGTAAGAAAGTAAGCTGTAGGAAAGAATTGGTTTCAGCATACAGTTAAGAGTTGAATGTAGTGGCACAGCTTTCATCCAAACTATACAGACTCTCGTCAAGTCATTACAATAAAAATTTATTCAAATCCAAGCTACTACAAAAATAAGTATCACATCTTACACCCAACCATCAATTCTAAGACCTCCCACTATTAGATATCACACTAATTTGTAATTGTACTCAGCAAGTCTGTGACAAAAGACTTCACCATCACTACATGTTTGGCTAGTCTGTAACCTTATTAAACAGATCATTTAGAGAAATGTTCAATATATTTCAAGACCGGAAGTAACAGCAGAAAGCAATAAAGGCACTTCATAGATTACAGATTTATAGGGGAACAAAACTCAAACATGTAAACTGGTTACACAAATGTAAATATCTTCCTGAACTGGAAGAAACTGAAGAAAACAACTGAATCCGCTTAACTATAGCCAATTCAGGCAGAATTTAAACCCAAGTCTATGGAATTCAGTCATACAAACAGAGACATAGAAACATCTCTCAAAACTGAAATAACATAGAACTTCCAGAACAATCTGAAATGTTTTAATATCTCAAGATTCACTATCTGCTAAACTGTCCAAACAAATGGCTCAATATTTATACAAATCTGAAAACTTCAACTATACCAAGATCACTGCATACATAACTAGTCTTAATATATTGCGTAACACCACCAGTTCAAATGATCATAGATGATGATATGAAAGTTAGTAAAGGATGGTCTCAAATGTTTATGACTTATTCAACAAACTATATATCACACTGAACTGTATAGAGAGTGCAACTTGGATTCAAATAAACACAGAAAAATAAATTATAAGTAAACGAAATCTACAAGTAATCACTTTGTAATAATGATGTTCATTCTTGAAGCCCTATAAAATAACACATACCGAAGCCACAGGTTATATTTTAAAGATGAAAGCAATGCAAACCATGATTTATATATCTTATTCCTGAAGTTTCTCCACATTATAAAAGGAAAGTTTCAAGAAGGGCACCATCAAATTTTGATCAAGTCTTGAAAATGACTTCCTTTTATAAATTTCCTACTTTTTTTAATGATCAATAAATATAATCTGAAGTCTATAGGCATAGATTATCAAAAAATGTATACCTAACCTAACTTCAGAGATTCAGGGTTGTGAATTATTCTGTAATAAAAGCATAAATTGTACTGAAAACTATACTGAAACATGTAACCTCAATTTTATCTGAAGGGTAGATGAGTTGAACTTACAACCCCACTGCATGGAACAGGACAATGAAAAACGAAAAAATTCTCAAAGCTACTAGAATAATACACAGCTGAAGACCCAGATTTTAATTATTTTAAAATTACTTGGCTAAGATAATGTCTTTATGTAAGCAGGGCACAAGAAATAAGAATAGCAGATGAAAAATTTAATGTCATTGGGGATGACATGCACAAAAACTGTGCATTACACTTTAGATCATCAACAAACATTACTTTAAGGGCACTATAAATAACTAAATACTAATTTACTCAGAATTACTATTACATTTTGAAATTCCATGCAAAAAGAATGGAAAATAACAAATGGCAGATCCTAGTAAACAAATTAGAAGTGAAAGAAGCCTATGACAATCAAAGACATAACATGAAACATAAAAAGTCTACTGGATGATGCAAGGATGATGACGATGATGGATTATGATGACAAAGACAAGGAAGAAAAAAAAGTAACTGAAAGTAATACTTTACTGCTCAATGACAATCCCTGGGTGGAATACATGGAATAATGTTTTCTGAAGTATCTGCAAATCACATGTCACTTCTGAAGGACTACTGTATGTAAATAACTTCCTTGTTTACAAAGTGTTATCATCATGGCATATAAAATTACTTTCTGTTTCATTAACAAAGCATCTATCACTCTACTTCTGCCAAAATTTAGAAACAAAGTTTCACATTTGGGCAAAAAATGGCACATCCATTTTATTCAAATTTGAAGCCACACGTTTGGAATTTTCAACAATTTTAAAGCCTTGGCTGATATTCTATAATGCAACTTCAAAGTTATAAAAGAATTACAGTAGTTCCAAATTGAGGTTACATGATATACAGAATTAGTAAAATATCATCATATTCAGAACAGTTTTACGAGTCACTTTCACATGTCTGCCAAGAAATTCCTTCACCAAGAATTTTAACACAAGCATATCTGTATAACTGCTGACAGTCATGCCTGTGACAAGAAAATGTAATATACTGATATATTAACACCATCATTCTGCAAATATTTCAAATAAATCTGCATGTTTGTGCATCACAAATTATGAGCTCACTTTCCAATCAACAAAAATGTAGATTCTATGCAAACAAACCCAATGTCTGCCTTCACCCTTACTGTTCAATGTGAACTTCTGTTTCTGTAAACGTTATGCCAGCCACACTTAGGCAAGCACAGACAGAAACTGCATTAGCTCATGGAAGTTCAATGTGTGATAAAGGTACACACAATGAGGTCTATTAAAAATGCTAATTAAACTTTAATTTTCTTGCTATTTCAGAACAACAATTAGTAAAGTAAAGGTATCCCTGTAACAGGCCTTGGAGGCCCACAGGGTTGTGAGATGTTGAGGTTCCCACATTTTCTAGACAATTGGCTCATAGATGGCGGTAAGGTTGTCAGCCCTACGTGCCGCCCGCCCTTTACCCCCAAGAATATTCCTGGTACTCATTTCTGTTAGAGGCTGGGTCGACCCCTGGACCACAGTGCGGCTGGAAGGATTAGGTAAATTGAAAAAATCCAATGACCTCATCGGGATTTGAAAATTATTATTTCAGGAAATACAACTCTCTGCAATTTGACATTCTTTCACAGTGAACCTGTATTTGGCAAAGATAAACTCACTCCTCTGACAGAAAGTCCAGCTGCACCCAGTTACTGCACTTCTCCATACTCAAGGTCAGTGTTCTACACACATTACTGTGGCAGATTACTTCTTAATGTTTTCTGAAAAATTAATTTTGTTCTACAGGTATAGATGAAGATGGACTACAATGTTTCTAAATGCGAAATGATCAAACAGATTTCCTGCGTGATTAATACTGTTTAGTTGGGGACCTAACACTAGAAAATCATGCTACAGTCACTACAGATATGCAAATTCTTCTCTTCACTTCGCATCATTTAACTCCTTTTGAAAGCTGAATATAACTGAATACAGCACAAAATATTTCAAAGGCATGACCAAACACTGGGCAATACTAATGAAATTAAAGGGCTTCACAGAAACCAAAAAGCATTTGTGACTTTTTTTTTGATAAGTACAAAACAGTACAGGACAGATAAAAATGGAATTCACTTCAAGAGAGAAGAGTATGAATTCTTGGCAGATGTTAAATGCTGTCACAAAATCAACACTCTTTTCTTCAAAAAAGAAAAATACACTTTTAGACCTGCTTATGCTTCTGCAGATCTCAGGATCAGAACTTACCACTCCTCTTCCTTGTGAGTTACAAAGAATTCATTCAGCTGCTGCCTCTTGAACTCCAACTTATACTCGTTATATTTCCTGATTGCCTCATCATCTGTTATGTTGTCATCTTGTGTCTGAAGATATGCCTTGAATGACATCATAGGAGGCTGTGTTTCTGCTGTCTGCATTTCCCTGCAGAAATCCATAAAAACAGTGTTCACTGTAATTAGTAATAACAAAATAACCAGGTTACTCTACAGAATTAAAACCTTAGGGTTCAGAACTCCTAGCCAGACACTCCAATGAAGCTAGAACCAATTCAGCCAACTGAAGCGAACCCAAAGCCATGTCAGCCCACCAAAATGAATCCAAATTCATAGACACCTCAATCCAATTCACAGTACCAAAAACGATTTCCCCATGCTTTTAATATTAACCTTTCATAACCATATGAGTCCAGCATGATCTTGCTTTCCAAGAGGTTTATATGAGCTTATGATTAAACTTCAGTGATGATTATGCATAGCACGTGGTAACAGTATGTTAAGTTGGTGAATGATGGACCATAAGATCACATGATTCAGTGGCTTTCGCGTCATATATTCATGCATGAGGTTGTATTTTGGTTGCAGTCCAGTAATTTACTGGGCCAGTGTTTTGTTTGTCAAGAACATGGGTGACAATCTGCTGAAAAACAGATCTAACACTATATTTTTACTTGAACCTGAAAACAATGAGCAGAACAATGGGTAGAACTCATAAGCCAACTTTCCTCTTTCACATTTATGCTGGTGCCGGGGTAGCATAGTCAGTAGAGTGATTGGCTACGGGCTGAACAACTGAGGGGTTTGAGTTGGAGTCCTGGTAGGACCAAGAATTTTCTGTTCTCCAAATTGTCCAGACTGGCTCTGGGGTCCACCCAACCTCCTATCCAATGGGTACTGGGGGCTATTTCCCCAGGGGTAAAGCGGCCATGGAGTGAAGCTGACCACTCACCTACAGCTAGTTCCGAGGTCAAGAAAATGTGGACCTATATATCCACTCTTCCATATGCCTTCACAATGTAGTGCTTAATTCACTGTGCACAGGGACAACTTTACTTCACTTACTTTTCACATTTTATGCCGTTACTGTCATATTTAGGTTATGTCAACTTATAATCCAACAATGACATTCAGTTCGGCTCATGGGTGGACATGCTGGACTTGTGTGGAACATGTTACAGATTACTACTAATGAGTCAAGCTTTCATGGCAAATCAATGAGCGTGCCAAGATTAATAACATGAATATGAACGACATGACATACAGTGCATTTTAATAGTATCTGTGTGAGAATCAACAATCAAAAAATAATTTATAATTATATTATTACTTTCTTCTTTTCTGTGTACTCTCACTGGCCTATACCAAAGTTTCTGAGGAACATACTGCCTCCATCTTCAGGATCTAATAATCAGCCAAGTAATTAGATAGCAAAAATCTTACTTGATGCTTATTTCTGATCTTGAAGATGGAAAAAGTATGTTCCCCCAGAACATGCAGTATTATATCCAAGAAGACAATATTCATCATAATCAATGCTGCTAGAACCTCAACACCTACAGAATTTTTATATAATTTTATCTTACATATGATCTACTATTTAACTATTAACTTCTACGTCTATACAACAGGCTAATCAATCTAGACAGTTTACAAAATGGACTTACTTTCTTCTTTAACTTTCAAACTACACAAAACTACTTGTGTATTCTAACGCTGTGCAGATACAGTATGTACAATTGATACAACTGTGCCTGACCCATGTGATGATTAGTGACTGAAGGTTGAAACATGTAATAGCACAAGATCATATAGATATATACTTTTTGTATGACAAACATTAACATTTCAAGACTGAACTTCTAAATCATATATAAAAATTCAGTTTGTATCTCACAGGAAACTTTATTACGTCTCTGCCGCAAAAATCAACTGGTTAATGCTGTTTAGGGAAACAACTGTTTATTATGAGAAGCATATACAAACACACAAATACACTCTGTGGATAGAAAGCAGAATTTTGTATGAAAAAGCATGTGGTACTTATAGGATCACTGAACTTCAAAGAGTTTTCAGTAGTTAATGATTAAATACAAACAGGATGCAATAAAAAAAGCTCTCATTAAGATGTATTAAATAAGGACTAAAGTTTCAGGTCATGAACACTTACCTTTGATTATTACCATGGTTCCCATAAGCATGTTGAGAGCTATAGCTGTCATGAGGCCATGAACTGGCATAGCTACCATATCCTCCAGCAGCACTATCATGTCCATAGCCAGCACTCCTCCTCTCCTCCCTATCACACACACGTCAGTTCACATGACAAAGGCATGTATGTACAAGAAGTTCTGGGAACAACTCATAATGCTTACTTTCCATTATATGCTTCAAGCCACAGTATACAACGAAGCAAAGTAAAGTAGAGAATAACTGTCTATTTAGTAATGAGAAGAATGCTGTCTTCCTTACAATTTAGTAATAGATTTGTGCATAATTTGCACTGGAACATTATCTTGCTAAGATCAATCTCACATATTACCTCAAAAGTTCGCCCTACTGCCACATTGAAATTGATGAATATACAGTATGTTATATTTTAGCGTCCTGTTGCACTGATTTAAGTCCATGATTTATTTAAACCGTCTTGCAGTGCATACACTCATTTATCTCCTTCTCTCCCTTGCACTACATGTTTCGGCATAACAATGCCATCTTCAGGTGCTTACTTATCCACGCCAAACCAGTTCATTGCATGCCTTGTTCTCATATTAAAATAACCAAAATATGTATCTATCATATACATTGTCAAACGTTAAAAATATTAAAATTGTTCAGGATACCACATCACTACGTCGCCCCTCACTACGCCAGTCACGCTCATTCTCCTCTGTTGGAGCACTCCTTCACTGTCTTGTGTGTGTTGTGCTTTTGTTATGTCTTGCTCCTGTGACTGCGTGTGTTATACTGTTGGGCCTCCTGGGTATGTGTGTGTCACACACAGAAAATGATGCTTCCAAAATTATTCATTGCTATGGGTGCATCTTTACTGGACTGTTTCCTAGCAATGATTGGGGGACACAAAGGCAGACACACTCTCCGTTTATATAACACATACTGCATAAAAAACAATGTGTCTAACAATTCTTCTATTGTTGTGTGTTTGTTGCCATGGGAATGTTTACTGAGACACTGCCTAGCAATGGCAAGGGGGCATACACATACAGACACAGTGACTGATGGGAAGGACACTGCTGAGTGGACACAGGTGCCATGATATACATACAAAATTTAATAAATATTGGTTCTCTCTCTCTCTCACACACACACATACACAGAGCAAGGTGAGCTCATACGCCTGCTTCTATTTTTCCAAAATTAGGAAAGTAGTCTAAAAATGCCTGACACAAAATTAGAAGGTACTTTTATGACCTACTATCACATAAAATTTAACATTTATAGTTCCATAGTACCCAAGGGGCTTTTAATGTTTCTTTTACCCAGCCTAGCAGCAGTGTCACAGTAAGACCCTTCCACAACTGTGATCCTTAGTGACTCAACAAACTTCTTGACCTGCTTGTTCTAACCCTTTTATATGGGCAGCCCCTGACTTAAATTGCATCACATTGCTATTCACAAAATGTACACAATTTCTGAAGTGCCTGCAAGCAGTCTAACACAAAGGCTTGACTCACATGGGGGATTAAGCTCACTGCTTACAACTGAGGTGTCCAGGAATTGATATGTGACTACTCTACATCTCAGAGCCCAGATACCAATTTCCATTACTCCTACAATCTATTCAGTCTTTCACTATTCAAATCTGGTAGTTGCATTACATAATGCAGACTTCATACCAAGATTCTGTGCTTGTGTTCAACAGGGGGGGGGGGAAAAAACTCCGTGGTTTTAGTCCATCACTTGTCGGCGAAGTTAGTGCCAACTTTAGAATATAGAGGGTGTCATGTGGTCAATGCAACAAATCCCCACAGCTGTTAATTTCGGTTTTCTAGACCAGAGCTGCTATTTCCTTGAAATAGCTCCTCAATTATCATCATGAGGCTGAGTGGACCCCATTCCAGACCAACTTCTTCTCTGGCGAAAAAAAAAAAACCTGGTAGCGCCTGGAATCGAACCCGGACCTCTGGATCTGTAGCCAGGAACTCCAACCACTAGACCACAGAGGCAGTCTGTGCTTGTGTTGCACCTGCATTTTAGAGGCAGGACTTTTGAAACAAAGTGGGAAGGGCCAAGCAAAAAATGCACCAGGACTCTTAACTTCTTTACTGGCAGACCGCCTGGCTTAAAAACTCAGATCAACATGAACTTAAATTCACTTAGCATTATCTGGCTGTTTTCACAGAAAATCAGGTACTATCAACAACATTTGGATATTCATGACACAGGTCCTTACCCACCATGAAATATGACAGTACCTACACAGTTCTTATTTCTGGCCCTATTCACACATATGGAACACAATTTATCTGAATCTCTGGGCTAGTGGTAAACCTCATAACTCCACACACACACACATGTACTGTGGTCTCCTGAGTCATGACATCATGTAGCCTAGTATCCAGATATCAATGTTTCAGAGGAACAAACTGTTTCCATTTTCAGATCAGAAATGGGCAAATTTGGTAACGCAGCAGGTTATACAGAAATAGGGAGAAAGGAAACAAGTTATGGATGATGGATGTAACTTGGCTCACTTATGGACTGGGGGGTGACCTGACCTGATGGCCATGGTTTGGGAGCGAAGAGATATTTACACCCTGACTAGTACAAGCCCTACAAAGACAGCTGGCTCAAGGCATAACACTTCTGAATTGTATTTAGACGATGATCTGTTCAAATCTCAAGGGACACTCACCTGACAGGCTGTTCTTAGTCTTCCTTAGTCCCTCCAGGCGAATGCCTGGACAGTACCTCAAATTATACCATGGCCATTTCCTTCCACATCCTTTCCAATTATTATTCACTAAACACCTTTCATTCAACACTTTATACTCTGAGTTACTGACTGCATTAGCAGCCTCCGTAGTCTAGGGGTAACATTCCCACCTCGTGACTCAAGGTACGTCGGTTCAAACCCGGCGGAGTCTGGAATTTTTAAGGGCGGAAAAATTCAGGGAACAAGTCCTCTGGGAGGGACTTTAAGCCGTGGGTCCCGTGTCGTAGCTTTACAGCACGTAAAAGAACCTCATGTCCCAAGGGACCACTGAGCCAAATTCAGGACATTTCCTGCCCAACAGTAGTCTCTAACGCCTCTGGTAGATGGGGGAAGCATTGAGATCCGCTGAGCCAGTAGAGGCCGAACTCGCTGGCTGAGTCGGGACTGATGGCACGCACCAGTACCGGTAGGGAAGAGAGACTGGTAGAATATCAGAGGGGGGCGCACAATGGGCCAACAGTTTGTCTAAGTGCATGGGGAAACCCACCCTCTCCAATATAATACAATACAATACAATACAATACAATACTGACTGCATTGCTATGTAAGCCATCAATATGAGTGAGTAAACGTCCACCACACTACTGAAATTTCTGTGATAAGCATGGAAATGCTATGAAACCTTCAGGTCTACAACAGAGCCAAATAATGGAAAACACCTACTTCATGAGCTATGAAGCTATGATAAACACGTTGCAAGCAGCACTGACCACCCAGAGGAAAACAAGTGGCAGTGCTGTGTCTGTTCCATTCACAACATAGATAACGGTGTATGTCACTGACATGACACTTACTGGCATATTATTGCATGCTTTCAGGATTATCACACAAGTAAAATTGTGAGGGTGGTACCTCAGAATGGGAAGCCATAGGATTCACATGGCAGAGAGGTAAATAAAAGAAACACCTGCTGCTTTTGTATTTTCATCTTAAAACAGGATCACACTCATAATCTTGCATTTAACAAATTACAGAAATTACATTTTTGCAATGTTGTGATCTGTGTGTTGTTCTCTTTACGATTTTCTCCTTCACACTTTTTATCAATGATGGTTTTGGAGAAATGTATCTTTGGAAAAAAGGACACTGTTTTAATTACATGCCTTCGTTTAATTTGGGCTGTGAGTGGCTACAGGGATGATTTAAATCTGGAACAATAAAGGTTAATATGCCTAGCTTCACAGTTCGGGTGTTCACACCAAGTTTCATGTAAACAATATTAAGTCACTTATGAAATAAGTTTATTATGATCATGCACAAATATGCTCACCACAGAGCCTATCTTTCACTTCAGGTAAAAGATTGAAATCTGGTATATAATCTTGTATATTCAACACTCCACAGTGGACTTCCTAACAGAGGTGAAGATTATCCAACAATCAACAACTGTTTTCTGCATGCATGCAAAACTTACCAACGTCTTTAAATCTCAATATCAAATAAAGCTTGCTTCCACCCGAATTTACAGGTCTACATATGCATTACCATATACATAATTTTTAATATAACTGATGATGCTGCTGCAGAAGTCTTTTTTTATTGATCATAATAGAACAGTCTATAAGAAACAAATGGTTCAATTGTTTTAGCAAAGGATTGCAATAAACAGAAAAAGCGACTGAATTCAGACTGTTATGAAATTAAATTTTTTTTATCCTTTTAAGATAGGTGTATACTAGGATAAAACTTTGAAGCATACACCATTTGTACTGACATGGGAAGGGACAACTTTGGTCACTCCATGCACCCACACCACTACTGGGTCTGCTGTGCACCCAGAATGTTGCTTGGGCTCTTAATGGAGCCTTGGCCTTAACTAGAACCAAATCCCTTCAGACTGAGGTCCTCTTAATATCCCCCGGTTCCATGACTTGCCACCAATTTGAATCAGTATCAACCAACAGTGAACAGCTACACATCATCATTTATAATTCTTTCTGAGTAAGGCTCCTCTTTGGTGTAAACTGCATATACTTCTACAACTCTGTCCACTTATGTTCCAGACCAAAAACGTTAACTTTCCTTCTTCTTTCAATTTTTTTACAGATATTACAATATTATTAAACTTCTGACAACAAGAAAGTCAACTGCATATCCAGGAAAGTGAAGTTCTTATATATGGATCTCAGAGAGATAGGCGGGAATGGTATGGATTGGATTGATCTGGCTCAGAATAGGGACCACTGAAGGGCTCTTGTGAACATGGTAAAGAACGTGTAAGTTCCATTAAATGCTGGGAAGTTCTTGAGTAGCTGAACAATTGGCAGCTTCTCAAGAAGGGCTCACCTCCGTGAGTGAGTGAAGTTTTTACATAAGCTTCCACGTCTACCTCATGAAAGCTGATGCTGCAAGTTTAAATTCCATCACCACTACCAGGGCATGCCTTGCAAATCTTCTGAGTTGTGGGGAGAAAAAAAAACCCCAACAATCAAACAGGAAAGATCAAGAGAGATATGAACGTGAGGAATGATTCTATCATGATACACCTCAAGTCCCTTTGAGTACATGCCTTCAGAAAGACTAATCTAGATATCATATTTCATCAATGTCCTTGTCTTTTCATCATCAGGCATAACAGTGCTACTGACAAAGAAAGTATGATTACGATATATATCATCAACCATTACATCACTCTATTTTCAGTATGTTACAATGATACATATTTCATTACCATCTCCTCATTCTTTCTTTCTTTCTTTCTTTCTTTCTTTGAAGTAACAGTTTTGTATATTCCAGGAGATAAAACACAAATGACAGGCACGCTAAATACGTATAACAATTCACTAAACAGACAAGATTACTTCAATGGCTGACACACTAATATAAATATATATGATGTAATGGTTATTCATGAAAATAAGTGAACAGGATACCGCCAGTATGTACACAAATATCACAATAGAAAAATGGAAGTTTTTTGGTCAAGATTTGTATTTTTTATGTTATACAAAGCACCTATCTATTACTCGAAGATAAGTGGTGGCCAGTCAATGAAGATTGTCTGCTCTGTATAGGAGACCAGTCTTATGACATTAATGATGGAGGAAAAGGTTTTGGGCTTTGTGATGGAGAAAATGACTTTCCAGCATAATGCAGGAAAATTTTCTACTGTTGTGAACTATATGGTTTCTAATTTCACTACCAAACTTACCACTCTGTCCGTACCCTCTTCATTGGTGGTGAGATATCATGAGTTCTGGCAGGGCTATAACGCTCCCTGCCACCACCACCTCGATATTCACGGTAATCTGCCCTTGCACGATTGCGACTACCCCACGATTCTCTGTCCAGGACAAAAAATTGTATTAACTGATGATAATGAGGGACCTAAAGGGTTCAAATACTGTACTGGAAAACGACTTCAGCTATAATTGGGTGTGGCCAGCCAGGCAAGGGAGGACGTGTAAACTTCCTGCTTCCTAGCATTTAATACCTGATTTGGGCGTCATTCATAAAAACATAAACAAAGCAGAGTATGGACATCTATGACCACATGTAAGTGAAGATTTCAATTTAGAAACATGTGCTGAAACTGCTCAGAATCCCCACATATGTGTTCAACTCATATCATGATAGTAAAAATGAGCCAATGCAGTGAAATGTGTGCTGAAACATAGTACTGTATCATGATCCTTTGGTTCCTTCTAGAATACAGTACTTAAAAAACTGAACTCCTAATGAAATACATTTTATAGTCAATTTTGGAAAGGCAGAAATTCCATTTTTTAAACAGAAACTTCCATTTGACTACAACAGAAAAAAACAAGCAAAGAAGACACACAATTTCCATTTTACTTGTGTCTGACTTGGCTTCTAGGTTTCCATAACGCTTAATAAGCAGCTAGGCACTTCACAACAGAAGCAGACAATATTACACACGACTATTTTTGAAGCTCTGGAGTGTTTTATATGATTCCCGTTTACATTCCCGTCAGTGTATGACATGCAATTTACATCTAACTCCATGTACAGTTAAATGATATTTACAAAGAACCCAGTAGCACATACACACCCATACACCACACCCAGAAACAGAAAGTACACAATCTTAAAATGTACAAAACTATGCATATACATACTGTATACTTTAATGTAGTATGTCATCCAAATACAATAATTAAAAAATCAAAAGTTCCAACATATACAATACTGAATCTTCTTGGAAGCATACAATTAATCTTGCAAAAGCAAAAAGAAAATAATAATAATAATAGTTGGAGGGGGCACAGGACATTCTCAGAAAGTTATACAGTAAAACTGGACTACAATTCTCAAAATGTGAGGGATTGTTATATTTCATACATTGCTTCCAGAAACAACCAGACTGTTACAACGAAAAGCTTTCTTCAGTCACCACAACACTTGCACAGTTTTAAGTTCAATGTCACAAACAGTAGCTGTTCATTTTAGATATCTGGCAACACTGGCATTTAAAGTTAGCGCACCTGCCCCCTGTATCTTAACAGCTGACATTCCTTGCCCCTGCACATATGTTTTCAGTCCAGGTTCTTCCCTGTGCCCTGACATAGCAATGTCACAGTACACTGCTGTGTTAATTTGGCATTAAATTCTTATGTACAAAATCAATGTGGTAGCCTGTTAATGTGGTATATGTGATAAAGATTAGGTATGCACTGAACTTCTTACTACGGGCAACTCCTGTAGTAACGGATGAATTTTTGGTTTGAGCTGTTACATGACGAAAGATACAAATAGTGAAAATGGTCCTGGTAAAGGCAATGAGTTAGTTAAAACCACTTGCAGAAATAATAGCTACATCAAAATCATTGCTTGCATCATCCAAAATTGCTCACAGAATTGTCAAGTGCAAAAAAATTAACTGAAACAATGTTTGATGAATCACAGACCAAAGAATATCTGATATCTCAAAAGATCTTTATGATCAGGTGATTATTCCACATAGTAGTTCATATTTGGGATCATTGAGGGTGACTGTGGAGCAATTGGTGGAATGAAGATTGGCAGGGGAAGCTGAAGTACTCGGAGAAAACGTGCCCCAGCGCCACTTTGTCTACCACAAATCCCACTTGACCAGACCTGGGATCAAACCCAGCCACTGCGGTGGCTGCTACGATAAACAGTACTGCATGATGTCTACAGACTTCATAACCACTTGACTGGTTAATTATTTATGTGCAAATTGCTGTGGCACAGCTGCATCTTTGGAAATGTACAATATACTTAACCATTTTCTAAGAATTAAATAAACTGTGAGAACTGCACTGGAATCTGCACTGACAGAGCCCAGTCAAGGTCTTGATGCAATGCAGAACTTCAAGCATCGGCAAGAAAGACAGACCCCCGTCCCATACTAAGATAATGTATGCTTATGACAGGCACTTGCATCTAGAAATATGACTGAGGAGCTTCAAACTGTATTTAAAGCTGCTATCAAAGTTGTTAACTACATCAAAAACAGTCCACTGAAATGAAGACTCTTGGCAAAGTTACATGAAAATATGAACACGTCACACTTTTATTCTACTGCCAAACAGGCTGGCTCTCATGCCAAATTGCTTCACAGGGTATATGAATTGAGAGAACAGCCATTCGTAAAAGGCGGTAACAACAATAATGCAAATTGACATATAATGATCATTTTATTCAGAAACTGGTTTCTGGTAGACACAAAAAGAAAAGAAACAAATTGATGCATGGTCCTCAATTTAATATTATGAATTCTAACGAAAAATATAATGGATTCAAGAAAAATTTAGAATTATGGAAAATAAACACAGAATGTAACATATCTGATGTGCCTCCTACTTTTAGAGATGTAACACTTTCAATAAAGCAAAAGCTAACAAAAAATTTTTCATCAATCATCTGGATGCCTTGCAGAAACAACCTTCGCTGCATTTTAGACACTGATGTCTCAAAATTCAAATAAATGAGAAACTAATTTGCTGCTAACAACATCTCTGGACTAATGGCTTGTGAACCAGAGCAACTCATATAGTTCTCTGACAGTCACATCTGATGTAGGTAAACTTAAGACAGCTTTGATTGCTTGTGAAAAACAACGACCCAAGTTTGTCAGACAAAGCCATAAACATATTATCCCAACAATAGATAATCAGTGCTGGTGACACTCACATATAACTCCATATTCTGATGAAAATCATGTTGCCATACCTCACCCTGTGTAAAAGGCCACATATCCTTCTAGAGCAATTGTTTCATGAAGTAAAATGTAAGGCAACTCATCACTAATGACAATTATTGATCTTGTTCATCATATGTACTCTCCAGAAGAAGCTAATAAGGATAATACTAATAAAGTTAATTAGCTACTGTATTTTGTCAGAAAAATAATTTCAGTCATTGATGAATACACCTTCAATGCAAAGTTTATAGTGGAAAAGTTACAAGTCAGGATGATACTGATGATGATAAGCCTTATTCAAGGGACTCTGGAAGTTAGTTACCATCTTTCCTCTATCAGACTAATCAGCCTCATCAGCTCGCATAATGTTGTACACTTCTGGACAAAAGAAGCTAAATTTCAAACATCATTGCAAACATGCCTATTTTTGTAAGATATCAAAGCACTGCCTTTCATTTTCCTTGATTCGTACTGCAATATCATTCTTCTCCAAAAGACATCTCTGCTTCACTTGACATACCACTGTTGAAAAAGTAGTAAAGGAAGCAGAAGAGGTGGGGAGGCAGGGGGGCCCACCATCACCAATGCATAAATATGAAATTAAGCAAACCAGGAACACACACCAAAAAAAGAAATACAAAGAATGAAGAAGAGTTAAAGTGATGGCTAAATGGTGGTTATACAAAATCTTGAAACTCAAAAATAAATTTAGGATAAAAGCAAGAAAGAAGCACACCACAATATACACCAACTAACTGAATTTTGTACATGAATTTGGTCCTTTATATGACTTAGTACTCTGAAAGTCAAATTTAGAATATTTCAGAACATAGTGAATGCGTCCAGTACCTTTGTTACATCTGTCGTACCATACATGACAACATAACCCAACATAGCTTTTCCTATAAGCTTGTATTGCCCAATTAGGCATTACATCACTTAACATTAGAAATTAATTTTTAATATCTTAAATTCGTTTATCTAATTTAAATACTGTGTGTTTCAAACAAACTACATCAAAACCATAAGAAACAATTTCTTTGGCATGCTGAGACATTTTATATACCACTTTCTTCATTTTACATGACTATTATCAACCTGTTCTCCTGCAATATGTCAGTCCATCAGCTTTCATTTTCTGGGCTGTTTCTAGACAATATTACGTGGAATGATATGATAACTTCTGAATTGGAAGGAATATGAAAGGAATCAGCCATGATCTGAGGTACTACAATGGTATTTACCTAGAGGGACAGAAGACAATTATCAAAACCTTCAGAAAGGCCAGCAAGTGTACCAGCAGGGATTAAAACTGAGAACCTCCAAAATACAGGTCTCAGTCAAGACTGCTCAATTGTCAGTTAAATTCAACAACACTCAATAATAGATTAAGACTCTTACCTTTCTATCCATTCCTCCCGTCGTCTGTCTTCTCCACCTCCACCTCGACGGCCCTCACCTCTTTGGTAAGATTCTGTCCTCTCTCCACGAAACTTATCACGACGTTTCCTATCATATTCATCTTCACTGTCACCCATACTTGGTGTGACTTTACTGTAATTAAGAAAACCCTGTTATTCATGTGACCAGATAGCTAAAATCAAATATAATAAAAATCAAGCATGTGATTCAAAGACCATGAAAGTCATACTGGAGGTGGAGGTATGAGTGTATTCTCAACCTTGGCACTAGATGGAATGAGTGTTAGCATGCTCTACATGCTTTTACCCTGCATCTATTGTGCGAGTGTGGTCCGAATTTAAAGGTACAGCACCAAATAACATCAACATATTTATTGTAAAAGGAATCTTTAATAAAGTCAACTGTTTTTTTGTAATGCATTTTGGTCCTCAAACCTTTTCCTGATAAAAAGTTCTTAAATGGCCCGAAGAGGCAGAAATCTGATGATGCTAGATCAGGACTATGTGGTGGATGCTGTAGAACTTCCCACTTCTGTTTCTGCAACCAGGCTACTGTTCGGGCTGAAGCATGAGGCTGTGTTCCATCATGCAAAAGCCTCACTCCAGCAGTTAATCGTCCCAGTCTCTTTTGTTTAATAGCTTCACAGTTTTTTGAAAGTGTCACAGTATTTGCCGCTGTTGAGTGGTTTTAGTGGGAGAAATTCAACCAGCAGGAGGCCTTCACAATCCAGGAGCATGGTCGCCATTGTTTTTCCCAAATGGCTCAATTTTAATTTTTTTTTTTGTAGTGGGTGAATGAGGGTGTTTCCAAGTCATGGTGCTTCTTTTTGACTGTGGGGTGAATTTTATCTCCGGTAACAATGCCTTCCACGAACGATTCTCCTTCATCTTGGTAACGGCAATGATTTTCAAGTGAAGCAGCCATTCTTTTGCTTTTGTGCTCCTCAGTGAGCATTTTTTGGAAACCAGTGAACAGACACTTTAAGGAAGTTTAAATCTGAGATTTCATGAACAGTGCTTTTGAAACACCTATCACTTCAGCAATTTCACGAACTTTGACTCTTTTAATCTTCCCTTATCAAACCTTCGACAATGACACAATTTTCATCAGTGTGTGAGGTCCTTGGTCTGCCTCTGTGTTTCTGTAGATCATCATTCAGTGCCATTTAGCCATGTTTAAATTTGTTGCACCACACAGCAACTTCCTTTTGGCTGAAAACGTTCTGGCCATAAATACTCATTAACCTGCAACAATTCCCGCTCTGACTCACTCCTGCATGCAGAAATCTGACCACTCTGTGGACCTCAAACTTAGAATAATCTTCAGTCACACCGGCCATTTTGTTCGCTTGTAAAACTTACAAGGGAATGGTCTGATCAGACATGTCGAAACCTGCCGTTTTTTTTTTTCACTGCAAGAGTACACACAACAAAATCCACTGTCAAAATTTTAACTGCTACTATGCACTGCAAGTATTTTTTAAAAATTGCTGAACATGGCCAATATTGTAGCCTGCTACACCCTTAGAGAAATGTCCACCCCTAGCAGAGCAGTATGCAACACCCAACATGGCTGACTCACAGCCTAGGCTGGGCTTGTACAAATCTCTGGTACAAGCGGTTCCATGTACAGAAACAATGAGTAACTTTGGCAATTTTTAAAAAATACTTGCAGTGCATATTAGCAGCTAAAATTCTGACAGTGGATTTTGTTGTGTGTACTCTTGCAGTGAAAAAAAAAATCAGGACAGATTTCAACATGTCAGATCAGACCATTCCCTTTAGACACATGGTTGGAGAACGACACAAACATGGCTACTTCTCCTCTACCCGACGTACCAATTATATGCAAGTAACACTGAGATGTCAATAAGTACATGGACTGGCCGCAAAGCGTCGTGGCAGTGCACTACAGTGGATAGGTTGAGGCACGATATGATGCCCTGTCAGTTCATCTCTTATCACTAGGGCCCGGATTTCTATGACATGTCATATTTTTTCCTAGGGTTTATTTCTATTTTTAAATGTAATTATGCATGTTTCCAGTCATTCTTATTGAAATTATGTCGTTTTTATTGTGCATATAAATGCATATTTTAGAGTTTTATTGGTTTTACAGCATATTTTGGCATACTTTTGAAATAAGGTCATATTTTTGTCATTTTAGAAACAATTCTTTGATATAATGTAAAATTTCAGCTCCACAATGTTTAGTATTACAAAATAAATTTCAGGCTGGACTGTTGCTTCAATGTGGAATAGAGTTCAAGTACATGAAGTTCGTATTAAAAACCATATTTTTGACTGGACCGTACTTGCAGTTACAAAGGCGAAAATTCGTGAAATGCAGCATTTATGACCTGGCAAGCCGGCCTTTCCCAGTCGAGGCAGGAGGGAGGCAAGTGTAACGGGTATTCTCCTATTGTATTCCGTCTTACTATAAGGTATATACATACCATTCTTTCTTGGAGGGGTTAGAA